TCGCAGTAGTAGCTTGTACTTTGGCTTACATGAGCTCCGACGAATGATTGTTTCCTCGTCTCGCCGAAATTGAACTCTCTCCACGATCGTTCAACAACCTGAATCACCACATCAATGGCTAGCGCATTGACGACGTGACACGCCAACTGCGTCGAATTCATCGAGACTATTTTTATTCGCTCTTACTTATACCCGATTCTTCGAACGTTAAGTATCGTAGACACATTGAGTACTCATAGCTATTCAAATCAGTAGCAACATTTTGGCACTCAAAATCTACGATTATATTTTCATCTAATCTTTTTTTGTAACGCTACAGCTTTATTCGATATTAGCGAAGTCAACCCGCGATTATGATAGCTTCTCGATCTATAAAGCTTTTTACATATCATTAAAACTACATCGAGCTTTTATAAAATTTTCATTTATCCGTATTTCTATAAATCTTAGAATGGAATTTACCATTTGGAAATAAGACAATTTTTATTTATGATTTACATTTTCAGGAAAAGATCATAGTCAATGTATTAGCAGCGATTTTTTATTAAGTAAGGTTAAAACTTTTTTAGGTCGATTTTGTAAAATATATTTTCTTTTTTACCAGATAAAAATGTTGAAAAAATTCGATAACAACATAGTATCAGCTTAATTAATACATTATTCAGTGCGCATAAAATGCAGGTTGAATTATTAATTTTCGTAACTAGCTCGTCGCAAAGTTTTTCTTTCTCACGGTGGGACGTGTTTGTAAGTGAAATTCGTTTAACAGCGGCTCAAAGTACACCACATAATCGATATAAACAAGTCTGCACGTAGCCGGTTAGGCGTGTGCAGTGCGTAAAGCTACGCGAAACCTCGTTATCAATGAGCCGTGCGATGATTCTCGCTTTGTAAGCTACGTAAGCTGTGGGTAACGCTCGCGTGTACACACACAGGTGCAGACGCCCTGCGCCTAAACACGGTCGCGCTCGCGCATCGATCGAGTGGCCGGGCCGCGTTGCGAAAAGCTCATGACATTTTCGACAAACGTGTGCGCAGCCAAGCACCCGCGCAATCCACACACCCGTGGCACAAACACACAGTCACACACACACACACACACACACACATACGCGCGCAGCAGCGATCAGATCAAATGTTGCGCGTCGGTTTGGCTTGATAGGCCACGCGAATGGTTATACTCGCTGTGATTACTCATGCAAGCATTGGCCGGCATCGGCACCGCCTGCGTTCGACAAATACAGTTAGAAAAAACTCAACCTTTTGATTTATTAACGCGTTGGAAATCGATTTAGCGTGTTACATCTAAATTCCGCCGTGTTTTACGCGATAAATGCAGCACAAAAAATATATGAATTTATAAAGCCGCACGAGCGACTGCGACTACATGCGATTTGTGCAACACAGGCTCGTGTACGTTCCGTGTACCTATCCGACAGGCTACAATGGGCAAAAAAACCAAACAGCTCCTGTACGCGAGCTTTCATGCCTTACGGCGAAAAAAATTGATACGATTGTGGCGAAAAACGGCTTATATAGTTAATAAATCTTAACCCACGCCTGAAAGAAACTGGGTATATTTCTCAACAATGACAACGTCGACGACGACGACTACTACAAAATCAAGGAAAAAAGCTTAGATGTGCACAACCCCAAGTGTATATAATATAGCAAAGAGCCTCATCCATCGCACTGCGGGACGCTTGCAATATGTTTCTCGCGTGCACACACACAAGCCCTGACTATCGGGTGAGCTTTTGCGAATACATATATTATTATATACACCAGTTCAGCGATGGTAATGCCATTGCTACTAGGTGGCCTTTATTGATAAATGCCAAGGCAAGACAACGACTATGACGACGTTACATAAGAGCGCAGAGACGCCACACCATCACCATCCCATCTCGTGCCATACATATATCGCGAGGTTTTCCCAGCTGTCAGCCAGTGGCTTTGTCATAGTAGCCCTTTTCTTTGCCTTCACCGCCGTTTCTTTGCTCGTGAAAAAAGGGAGCGGTGAGGGTGCGCGGCTGACTTTTTTTGTCAGTGGTTTTTCTCTCCGGCTGTGCGTCTTTTCTATTTAACATCTGCCTTAAAGGGCCCAACTTTTATGTACGAGAAAATGAACGAGAAAAGTGAACTTTGAGTCCTCTTAGACAATTCAACGAAACTAAGTCTTTAATCAGATCGAATATCGATCGACAGCCTCATTATTTCAACAAATTTTATTGATTACGTTGTAACAATAATGTTTCAGTCCTGAATTTCTAATAAAAATGATTATTGACAACAATTATTATACGAGATGTGAATATATCTCTGCAAAAATGTACAATCAATCATTAGCATACAACAAATACATAAAATATATGTGAGAATCGAAAGAGAAAAAATGTCATCTAAACGTAAATTATCCGATAAAACGATAACACAAAAATTCCATCCCCACATGCACTCAATAAGCTCAACATGCTGTACACTTAAAAATGCTTACGAGACAAAAACTGCAATAAATATTGCTGAAATTGCTGCGCGACCTTATTATTATATATATACGTGGGAGAGCAATAGCGCCGGTAAACACAAGACGCTCGAGGAGAAAACAAAAACGACCGCATCAACTCCGACCCTGGTACAACGAGTATTGTATAGTACTCAGCTGCAACTCGCATTATGACGTAGTTCCACCTTTCCTTCGCTCTTCTCCGTTTTTCTTCTATTCCGTTATACTCTCTTTCTCCATCCCCTTTTTCATTCTCTAGAAAAAACGTAGAAATACCAACTACTACTCGGCATCGTAGATACCTCAATACTAGAGCTTTTTTCTTCTTCAATCGATGTACACATACGTTGAGGGCATTTAATGAATTGTCGACATCATCATGTCACCTTAATTATTTTTGAGAAAATGCCCATCCTTTTTGGCCATTCATTCTTGCACGCTGGTTGAAAGTTTCGTTTTTTTTACTCTTGAGCAGCTATCGATTCACCGGTGCCAACAAATTATTGGTTTGAAAAACTCGACTCTAATTGATTTAGTTCGTAGATTGGTGGTCACCCTGTAGAATCTTGCTTATTTACTTCTCACTGCAATTAAAAAACACCGATCAGCTAATATGCCAAACACAGATTCCAATTTATGATTGAAAGTAGTTACAAATAATTTTGTAGATTTTCTATGAATTAAATAATAATTTTAAATGTTTAATTTCTTAAAACGTCTTTCACCATAACAAGATAAATCAATTGAAACTATTTGTTACTATAATTATTGTAATTAATAGTAAAAAATTATTAAATACTCAAAAAATTAAATTGTCACCATATTTCTAATTTAAAATTGTTTAATTTACTTTATCTCAAAAATCTTTGACACAATTCAATATTTTAAAATATTGAATTCTAAATAATGAATACTTTTTGAATGAAAAATAAACTACATTTTACAGAAATTAAATCTCGACTAATCATAATAATTTATAAGATAATGTTGTATGTCGCTGTCAAAAGATTTTGGAGTGCGTACAAGGCAGTACAACCAATATTTTCCCGATACTCAGCCAACTAAAAACGTGTTTTATATAGATTAAAACGTATATAAACGTAATAGTCATTGTTTGGCAATTGGAATATACTACCTTAATACGATTCAGTTGCAGCGGCTTTGCCGATACTGCGCTAACAGATTTTGATACCAAGTTGTTAGAAAATTTTCCTTCAATTATAAAATTTTAGATTAAACAGTTGATAAAATATTTTGATCTCAATTTACAGAATTTTATCTTTAGGGAACAAGGACATTTTTACAAAAAAACAATTTTCGGAGGAACAATGGTTTCGAGGGGAGAGTGAAGCAAAGTCAATTTTATTTACCACGGTCTCGCAATTTATTATATAGTTAACCAAACTGATAAGTTTTTCAATCTGGATGATTTAACGATAAATTAAATAAGTTTTAAAATAAAAAATGTGAGGCTTTTGATATATTCTAAAATTGCAGATTGGCCGGTAATGACCAATTGTAATTTATAATAATACTCTAGGATCAGAAAAAATACGTTACTCGAAAAAAGTACCTGTAAAATTAAATCTATTAGTTTATATGCTTTTAAAATTGTAATAAACTTGAATAAAATATAAATATCTTGTTCAAGATATAACGTTTCAACAAGGTTAAATGCACTTTTAGAGACCTCTCGTTTTTCAAATCATTTGTCTGGGTAAATAACTTTGACAGTATTATAAGATAACTTTGGCAGTATTATGAGACAGAAAGTTAGAAAGTGAAAATAACAAAAAGATTTAGAAATAATAGAAGTTGTTTGCTCGTCGCAATTGAGCATGCAAAATTACAAATTATGTCTAGGTACTGAAAAGCTACCATCTATTGCTATATAACATCGCAAATAAAAAAGCAATAAAACAAAAATACTAATTTGTTGATTTATTACCGCGCGTGAGCAAATATTTTTCGTAGCATTTGCATGGAAAAAATTTTGGCACAATTTGTGCAATCATTAATGGAAAATGATATTGTAAATAGCCGTATAAATAAATATTCATAATAAATGCAATGTCTATGGAATTTTTAAACATTACTCAATTAAATTGTAAAATTTGACACGCTTCGTAGCAGAGATGCATCGAATAAAGTTTACATTCGATACACTAATAAATATTATCATATCATTTCTTATGACTTTAATGTTTTACACTTGTGTCACGACTCTACTGATTTACGTTTTGCTTTGGATCATTCATATAAACGTGAGCCGATTTACCAAATCGGTTAGTGTAATGAACGCGAGTTCTCGATTCAACTTTGTATCAAAGTCATTCGTTTTACAAGACATATTTTTTTAGATTTTAGTTAGTACTGTCGAATCAAAAATTTTAGATTATTTAAAAAATGATTTGTCTAGTATTTACGACTTTGCTTATGTTTCTGTGCGCGGTAAGTGCTCAATCGCTATACGATTTGAAATATGCTATGCCAGAACATAAGTTGGCATGCTGGCCATCGCCTTTGAGCGCGAAAGCTGTACCAATAAATTTGTACTTCTCATCGAGAAGACGGATGGACCACTGGATTGCCTACGATTCAAATAAATTTAATCCAAGTATTTTGGATTTTGATCCTCAACGAAGAACTGCGATCTTAATTCATGGTTTTTTGGGAAGTGGACAAGATTTTATTTTTAGACAAATGGAAGATTATCTTCTTCAGTGGGTAAGATCACGTTGATGCACCTTTTTTAACCCATTAACGCGCAAAAATGCAATTTTGTGCATGAATTTTCCGTTGTAAAAAAATTATAGATAAAGCTAAAATATTTTCTTGAAAATCCATACCCAGGGGTTTTTGAGTATGCTCTTTCAGTATCCGGTGTTATTTTTGCGATAAATAAACATTATCATCGTTTATTTTTCCATTAAAAACAAAAAACGTGATTTTTTGACTCAAAATTTTTTTTCAAAGTCGATTTTCTACCTTGCCTTGCCTTCGGAGGGTTCCCATAACACCAGAAATCGTGCACTTTCTCTCTGAACCTTCGAAAAATGCGCTGCCGCGATTTTTATCTAGCCCCTATATTTCTAAAACGGCTAATTTATACCGAGCAGCGATATGAAAATTGCCTTATTTTTTATTTGTAAATTATTGACTTTATAAAAGAAAGTCATATAATGAAAAGTGTTCAAATTTGTTCAAAGAATACATGTGAATTTTTTTTAGAATTTGTTAATAATTTTTTTCAGAATTTTTCAGATTTTTTTGGAACATTTTGGATTTTTTCGACAGGCCGGGAAATGGTCGTATTTTGCAAAATTTTCAAAGTGGTCTGAAAAATTCTGAAAAAATCACACGTATTCTCTAAACGATTTCAAATAAGTTTTTACACTCCAAATTGTACTTTTGAGTTCATATTTAGCGCATGTAAAGTAGGTTCTGAGTAAAAAATGAGTGAATTTTTATACCACTGCCCGGTATAAATTCGCCATTTTAGAAATATAGGGGCTAGATAAAAATCGCGGCAGCGCATTTTTTGAAGGTTCAGAGAAAAAGTGCACAATTTCTGGTGTTATGGGAACCCTCCGAAGGCAAGGCAAGGTAGAAAATCGACTTTGAAAAAAAATTTTGAGTCAAAAAATCACGTTTTTTGTTTTTAATGGAAAAATAAACGATGATAATATTTATTTATCGCAAAAATAAGACCGGATACTGAAAGAGCATACCCAAAAACCCCTGGGTATGGATTTTCAAGAAAATATTTTAACTTTATCTATAATTTTTTTACAACGGAAAATTCATCCACAAAATTGCACTTTTGCGCATTAATGGGTTAAATATTACTTTCGATAGTTCAAATTATAATTTGTGAAAATTGTGAATGGTTTGTGCAGCGCGACATGAATGTAATTGTGGTTGGTTGGGAACAAGGCTGCAACAATTTTGCTTTTTATCAGCAAGCAGCAGTCAATACTGAGTACGCGGCTATAGAAATTCGAAAGTAAGTAAAAAATTGTTATGATTTCATCGCAAATACTTCATAAAAATAATTTAAAATTAATGACATTTTCTTCAGTGCGCTAACACAATTGATGAAATATTGGATGGATCGAGGTGTTGATCCAAATCAGTGGGGATACACACACATAATCGGTCACAGTCTTGGTGCTCATGTTGCCGGACAAGTAGGAAAAATGATGCAAAGGTATAACAATTTCCACATCAATCGTATCACAGCCCTCGATCCGGCAGAGCCTTGTTTTGAAACTCAAGAGCCACTACGTCTGAGCAGGCGTGATGCCCTTTTGGTCGATGTTATACATAGCGACGGAGCTCGTACCAAAAATCAAGCGTTTGGTCTTCTAAACCCTATTGGTATGCTACATTAAACAGCTGAAGTTTATCTACTTTCTAGCATTTATAAACAATATCTTTTGTTCTTAAAAAGGTGACGTTGACTTTTATTTGAACGGTGGAACATTGCAACCTGAATGCAAAGTAGGAAATTTAATGTACAGAAGAAGGAAAAGGGAGATGATGAACTACCCTAACGTACTTGTTCACCGTAAGTTACACATCATTTTTTAACCCATTAAGTCCGGGACGGACACTTTTTCGATATTTTTTTGAGGCGTTATATTTTTGTTGAAAATGAGGTCTGAAAAATTGCGAGTAAGCATATTCTACGCAAAATTTAATGAACTTTCCGAATCCGGTGTCAGCTTTCCCATATAACAAACAGGTCAAAAGTTATGGATGGTTTTATAAAAAAAAACGTGATTTCGAAAAAAAAATTTTTTTTCTTTTCAAATTCTCACATAAAAATCTTTCAAATCCTGGCGTCTTTGGTACAAATAAAGCGTCCATGGGACCCTCTCTTGAAGTTATGACGGTTCAAATTAGTGACATATGATTTCAAATATAAAAAATGGCGACTGGAAAACGAAAATATATGAGGAAATTTTTGGAATTTTTAACTCAAACACGATGGATCTTAGTATTTTTCAACGAATTCATTCATCAGTAAAAATTTTTCCTCAAATCTATCGCTTTTGAGTTAAAAATTCCAAAAATTTCCTTGTATATTTTCGTTTTCCTTGTATATTTTCATTTTTTGTACTTAAAATCATATTTCACTAATTGGAACCATCATAACTTTAAGAGACGGACCAATGGACCCTTTATTTGTACTGAAGACGCAAGGATTTAAAAGATTTTCATGTGAAAATTCGAAAAGAAAAATAATTTTTTTTTTAAATTACTTTTTTTTTATAAAACCATTCATAACTTTTGACCTGTTTATTATATCAAAAATCTGATACCAGATTCGGAAAGTTCATTAAATTTTGCATAGAATATACCTACTCGCAAGTTCTCCAGACCCCATTTTCAGCGAAAGTACGACGGTTGAAAAAAATATCCAAATTGTGTTCCTCCTGGACTTAATAGGTTAAATCACTTCATAAACAGCATGAATAGCTAGAATTTGAAAGCTCAATCATTTCCAATATTGTTTTAGTACTGGACAAAGGAGTGTGCAGACACTTTCGCTCGGTTGTTCTTTTCGTGGAGTCCTTAAAACGGGCCCTCGATGGGCGCTGCAACCTGTGGTCTCATCCATGGCAATACAGCAGCAATACTGATCAAGCTAGAGCAATCTTTCGAACACCGTGTAATGAAAACAATTGCGTCGAGGTAGGAATAAATGCGGAACGCTACAAATATCAACCGCAATCTAGTACATTTTACGTCAGGACGGATCTGAGACGACCTGGATGTGCATTTTAGTATGATTTTTTAAATTGTCTCGAACTCGAAGAACAAATGATCAAAATGAGAGTTTTTTATTGTACGATAATTCGACGGTGTGATTAGGCTAATTTTATCATTATAATTTTATAAGATTAAAACATTGTGGGGGTATTTTTTTAATAAAAATTTTTGTACGTAAATTTAGCATTAATAAAAATATTACGACTTTATAATGAATTCGTTTTATAAAAAAAAAAAACATTCGCGTAATAAAAATCACGAAAAAACGCATTAAATGGAAAGAATAATGGCCCAATTATAATTCATAATCCTGTGTTAAAATGCGGGTACAGGGTCAATAACACGATACTAATTTGAGAAATTTTACACTCATATCTTTCGTTGCATTGATAAAAAAAAAATAAAAGTAAAAATACAAATTTAGTCAATGAATTATGGATATTTTTTTAAATTCAAAAGTTTACGTATTTCAAGAAATGTATACCCTTTGTGAACTTCTTAAATAGTAAAAGTTAAAGTAAGGAAAACCTATAAAATAAAATTTCATGTGTCGGATGTCAATGAAAGACTTGATGAAATTATAGAATATTTGTAAGCTTTATTTACTCACTTACCAAATTGAGAAATTTTCACGCGATTTATAGTCTTTATTAAGGAAAGATTATTTTATTTATAATTAATCAACATTGAACAGCTTGGCAATGGCATTAGACATTTACACAGTAACATCATTGCTTATTTCCTTACCGGAATAATAGATAAGCTAATCGTGTCAAGGTAATAAATTAAAACAGTTATTCATAACATTTCAGGGCTGCGCCAGAGCTAACAACGAAATCGGCTACTTTCTTCGGTTTCTCTCAGTATCGCTCGCTCCTTGCTCAATTTTATGTCACAATCGTGCGAGTTTTTGCATATAAAAGCGATTGATAAAAAAACATTCATGTATTCCGTCGTCATTTTTCTGCAGTACTTGTCCAACCAAATTATAAGGATGAGTACTAATAACTTGGTGTTTTCATTTATAACACTCGTAATAGTTTCAATTGTTGCTGGTGAAGTTAAAACCCCAATGAAGCTGTCTTGTTGGTCTGAGATTTTAAACTATGAAAGATTCAAAGTGAATATTTATCTTTCTGCGCGGGACAAGCAAATACAGCTAGTGTCATCGGACTCACCGATTCGTCCTGAAATTTTGAATTTCGATCCAACTAAAAGAACGGCAGTTATTATACATGGATTTATGGGTAACGGCCTTGGAGATCGCATGAACGACTTGAAAGAAAAACTTTTATTATGGGTAATTCATTTTAATAATTTGTAACATCAGATTATTGGACCTAATATTTTCCTTGATTCAAATCAATTTTAGAAAGATATGAATGTGTTACAAATCGGATGGGAAAATGGTTGTTCGAATGCTCTTTTTTACCATCAAGCTGCAGTTAATACAGAATACGTAGCCATCATCATACGAAAGTAAATTTTAATATTTTTTAAATAGATAATTATAAATAGCTCAGGACCTCGTTAGGGACATCAATATTATCAAAATATATTTCATCAATATTATTCAAAATATTTTCGAAAAATGCAGTAATTTTATTGTAGTAATGGGCACCCTTTGATACTTATCTACTAATCCTCTAGACTTGAAGTAAATTAGTAACAATCAATGTTTTGTTAAACCTCAAGGTTCTTCCGTCACTTAATACTCTACTGGGATCGTAGAAATGTAAAATTCGAGCAATGGGGAGCTTTGCACTTAATCGGTCACAGCCTTGGAGCTCACGTGGCCGGGCAAGCTAGTAAAATGCTAAGACGATTTGAGAACGTCACGGTCGATCGAATCACGGGCCTGGATCCGGCCGAACCGTGCTTTGAAGTTCCTGGCTTTCCTCTGCGACTCTCGAAAACCGACGCGCGTTTTGTGGATATAATTCATACTGATTCCGCGACAAGCATCAACCAGGCTTTCGGATTGCGCGATCCCATTGGTAAGTTGTGATTTTATAATATATATTTAGAAACTATTTTTGCACGAAGTAATATGATGAATTTATACAAAAGTTTTTGCAATATTGACAATTTATTAAACTATTTTCTACAGGCCATGCAGACTTTTACGTTAACGGTGGGGTTCGACAGCCTGGATGCGAACCAAAGACGAAACTTCAGGACTTTTTAGATTACACTCAACTGATTAATCATAGTGAGTCTATAATCATATTAATGAATTAATTCATGCTTACTCATTTTAACATTGTTTTAAAAGTTTTGGCGAATGGTCAATGCAGCCACAATCGGGCTTTTACATTATTCATCGAATCGGTGCAGCAGGCGACGCTCGGAAATCAATGCGTGTTTTACGCTTACCCCTGGCGATTGAATAGCAGTTACAAGGAGACGAAGGAGCTCATCTCGAAGCCTTGCACGCGTCAGACGTGCTCCGAGATGGGTATAAACGCTGAGTTTTATGAATTCAAGACGAACATACAGTACGTACCGACAACGAAGACTCCCCCATACTGCAGGAGGATTAGAGCGAATGGATAATTAACCAGCGTGTTTGTTCGTTTGAGTTTAATGAAAATTGTAAATACTTCATATTTGTTAACTTTTTATTGTAGTAGACAAAATGATCATTTTTAATCCTAATTTAATCTAATGCAAAAGAGTGTAACAAAATTTTAACAGTACTACTAAAATCTAAAATGCAGTAATAGGATTAACCTAGTGTTGTGGAGCCATTTCCTAATAATGAACACAATACAGAACATTATTCATAAAAATCATACATTTTATTTATATCAGGGCAGTGCCTAATTCTGAGTAAAAAGTGAAAAATTTCAAACATATTTGAACAATATTTCATTCCACCTTAGCTGTGGCCACCCTACTAATATGCTGAATCAACATATAGAAGGACTTCAACAGTAACAAGTTTCTAAAGCGGTTATGCTTGAGTATAATTTATTTGTTAGTTCAATACAAATATTAGATTAATTCGGTAATAAGGAACCAAGACAGCAAAAATATTTTGCTCGTGCCTCGTTCTCTTTGTGAACACTCCAATCCTCACACACCAAAGATTAGCTTATGTTAATTCGTTAAATGGAGGCAAGCTAGTCTATTTGAGTACAGGCGAGGGGAAAGAGAGGGAGGAAAAGCGAGAACGAGGGAGTTGGAGACAGCATCGATGGCAGCTTCTATTGTACGCGCGACGCCGAGTTCGAAGTTTTGGGCGTGCGGCTCACGTTACAAATCCTCGTCGTTGTTTGCGCGTATTGCTTTGTGCATGGTTTATTCTCCAGAAAGTTGCTTATTCGAGAAACGCAAATTTGTAAAGAAAAATTTGAATTTTTTCAGTGGAATCGGGAAGAATACAATGATATCGAGCGAATGCCGACGTACTTGGTTTTGGTTTATTTGCGTTAGTTTAGGAACGTGACATGTGAGCACGTAATGAGCAGAATTCTGGAGAATGAACCATATACAGCGCTTCTACAGAGGCCGACTTTGCCGCCGCCAACGCTTGGTCGACAACGACGACGACCTCGACGAAGCAACTAAATCTAGCTATGAGTGGAAGAGGATGATGCGGTAGCCTTCTGAATAATCGGCAGTATTTGCTTGCGCGATGCTCGTACGTTGGCTTGCGTGTACAGAGCCAAGAACTTTCCGTCGAGCTCGCCGCCACCACTGCTGATGCTGCTGCTGCCTCTAGTCTCTTGCCGCTGATGCTCGTCCTGTTCGTTACGTTTCACCTCCGTCAGCTCGAGTTTCGGCTCGGTTGAGCTTTTCAATGCCTCGATTAACTGCAACAAACACAATGCTGAGTGTAATACAAATAAGCATTTTTCATATTCATTTCAAAAGTCGAGTGAAAGTTCTATACATTTTTAAGTCGTCAATATTCAAATGATGAATTTTGATAGAAAAGGGGGAAAAAGCTGTGATCCAATGGCTTCGAAGTATGCCACCTAATGGCGATGACCGCACAAAAAGAGGCACAAAAAAGCTTGAAGGTTGACGCGACGGAAACGAGATCGTAGACACGCCTACGTCAGGTTGTCCGTTTGCTAAACAGTGCCGATGTACACGTCAACACTCCATAGCATATATGCATATAGGGCCGACGCACGCATGTATAACACGCGCACCGAGCGGAGCTTTCGGTTTGGCCGCGAGGAAGCAGCAAGTTTGCGCATACACACACAGAGCATAAATATAGGTAGAGGCAGGTACAACAGTAAAAGCAGCAACCACTAGCTAATTTATATGAATGTAAGAAGAACTAGGCTATGTGTATGTACACATTTACTTTAGACTTTATGAGAGAGTGAGAGAGTTGCAGCGGGCAAGAGATTACATAATAACGAGCGCGCGGAAGCATGAATTGTGGAAAAAGTTGCCGCGCGGCGTTGCCTGAGAGTACTTTGAACGCACGGCGGCGCGCTCGGAATATGCGATGCTCTGCACATTTTGAAATTTATTTACGACGTTCTGTTTCGTCAACAAAAAAAATGAAACGAAGGGCGGACCATTTACTCGAAGCAAAAAGTATAGTCCGATGTCTTCTTATGTATAATATAGCGTGCAAAATTCGAGCGTGAACCAAAATGAATTAATCACGCGCAACGCGCTTATTCGGAATGCATCGGATTAGCAAAGTATAACTGAAGAGGCGGTGACGCCGGTCCACGAGCTAAGTATATTGTTAACACAAAGCTCCAAAATGATAAATGCATTGGCTGGGATTGAATGGCACACGTGTAAATGTACAAAGTTGGCCGACGCTCGTAATTCAGGAATGAATGCTGCGAGCCTTGTCTCCTCGGCAATTCATAACAGAGTAACGGCAGCCCATGAGCGACAATCACGAGTCGCGCGAGATTTCGTGTACATGTATACTTACTTACGACTGTATATTCATCGGCAGATCGTCGCGGAGCGTTTCAAGCGCAAGAAACACGCCAAGCCAATCGTGCCCCCCACATACACATTGAGAGTTTAGCGGTAGAAAGGGGCTTGAAGGGCTTGAAAGGTGGGCGTGGATCCTACTCATCGTCGGCGTCGTAGAATACTCTATAGCAGTAAGGTAGGCAGCCGAAGGAGGCAGGATATAGTCTGGCACCGATGCGCCCAAAGGAGAGAATGGGAAATCGTAACTTTCATTTCCGCGCATTTATATGGAACATCCTGACTTTAATTTCCGGCACTTGCTTTATATACCATAGCTGCAATACTACCGCGTACTCGCGTAGATATAGGTTCGCTACATCTACCTATATGCACGAAGACACGCTAAGCTTGATTCGCGTATTGCGTTGACACGGCAATGTAGAATATATAGTATCAGCAGAAACACGTCCAGACAAGGCAGTACTTCAGCTCTCGCGAGCGCTACTTTCTGTGATCAACGCCAATGGACTTTCGAGCATATAGCCAAGGCTGAGTAAAACGAAAAAAGACATCGAGCTTGAGAATAAAAAGGTCTGCTACTTGCGATTGAGCTGATGCTGCTGCTACTTTAGCATAAAGTCGAATCTCAAAAAATACACCAATGATCGTAGCGAAGGAGAAAAAGACTAGAGGCTGTTGGTATGAAGTTGTCGAATTGTTATCGCGTATTATGGAAGAGCAGTGCAATCGCTCAAAGCTCATTCAGTAAAAAGGATGAAATCGACGACTCATTGCAACAGCGATGTCGCTTTCTTTTATCGCGAAATCGAGCCCTCAAGCTTTCTGGATCTCGGAGCATTGGCTCGTTCGATTTTACAATTATACTAGCAACGAGGCAATGGCTGCTATTATTGCATCGTATCTGGTGCGATATGCGCGCGCTAGTCGAGCTCGATCAAGTACCTCCTTCGAAGATCGAACAATTGTTTCTAGAAATTATCGGCTGACGAACATGTACACGTTTTTCTTCATTTGAAAGTTTAAGATTAAATTTGTTTCAGAATAATTTGTGATTCGATTGTATCGAATCAATTGAAAAGTTGAAGCTTTTAGAAAACGAACCGATCGTGGTTGTTATTTTATATAAATAATATATAAGCCCGTCAAGTAACCGATGAAGCCATTAGCTACAACTTTTTCATTAGAAAATCTTACTACCCAGGCTGCAGTATCACCGAGAAAGAGAAAATAAAATTGTCTGCTTTTCAATAAACGTCAGCGCTGAGCAGCGCGGAGGGTATGACTTATATTACACGAGCGGGCGCGTGGGTCCACGAGACCGAGGACTTATTGTCAGTCTCTCTTTCTCTCTCTCTCTCTCGCTCGCGCTCTCGTATCTTTACGAATGCAATAATTCGAGCTTGTAGCGAGGGTGAAAAAGCGTATATAACAGCGAGCGAGCGCGAAAAAGGGAAAGAAGAGCCGAGAAAAGCTGAGAATGAGAGGAAAAAAAATGAAAAAGAAATAAAAAAAAGAATGGTGCGAGAATTGCAACGCAGCCACTTACTTTATTTGCCGCTCGATCGGCGTCCAATGAGTAGACGCCTATGTCCCTTGTCAGTCGCTCTTCCTTCAGTTCCATTCCGATAAGGACGACTGTGTGACAATTTCGTGCCTCGCAGAAAGCTCGAAGCGCCTCCGATGCGCCTTTCAATTGCAGAAAGTCCTGGGTACATGAAAGCAGAGACGGTTGGACCGAGGCAAAAATCAATTAAAAATAAAATTAATAAAAGTCTTCAATTGAACGAACACAAAATTATTCCACTTCCGTTGCTACAGCGGTGTGTAATTGAAAATTCTAAAAAAAAATAGAGAAATGGACCGCCGCTGAAAATCATACCAACCTTTGAAACAGAATAATTTAATAATACATTTTTTTTCCATGATTAATTTTTCTTTAAAAATTCTTCAATTTGACACATTTTCTTTTATTTTCTTACTCGTATAGAGGCTATATATCGATTACAAGGGGATAAGAAATGAGCGAAATCAAAACTCGAAAGTTGGATCAAGTCGGTAAAATTGCAGCCGGGAACCCCCCTTAAAAGAAGCGCGAATAACCGCACAGCACAAAAGAAACTTTCTTATGGCCTCCCTTCAGCCTCATCTGGCTCCTCTATATATATCAGGTATACAAGAGAATCTTAGCGAGCTTATGCGCGCGGCGTAAAAGCCAAACTCGCGCGCACCCCATTTAAAGTAATATAGAAACGAAATCGCGCGCGGAGGCGAGATAAAAAAAAAGGAGCGTAAGAGCAGCCAGGGGTGCATGTACTGTTCGGGAGAGATCGCGCAGAAAGAGGGTAAAGAGAAGGAAGAGGGGAGGAGGTTGTAGCTACATAACAGGCATCGAGGCGGAAAAACGAAACAGAACTCTGGCTCGTGCGCGAGGAACTTTTTCAATTATCATCGGCTGCATTCCTGCTCGCACACGCGGTCCATTTGCACGTCGTCGGCTGCGTCGCCTTCGCGTCGTCGGAGCTACGTTGCCTGTCTGCTGCCCCGAGTGCGTTGTAAGCGCCTGGGCGCGATTTCATGCTTGGCCCCGAATAAATGTACCTACGCACATGTACACGAATTACATGTACATCTACAGAGGGTTCGAGCGAGTGAACGGGAGAGCGAGATTCAATCGATGGCGAGGAAGAATATCTGTTTCCACGCGCCGCGCAGCCTGCTGCAGGAGAACAAGAGAGCGAGAGAGAGAAAGGGAGATTAACCGGGATGGCTAATGGCACCGTACCAGAGGAAAAAACGAGTGAATCCGTGAATGGAGAGTGAAAAGTTAATACGGTGGAAGAATTTTTATGTTAATTGAAGCTCCTGTTCGCGCGCTGCTACACACGGAGCAGTTTGAGATTGTCTCTGCGCTGCAGACTTTGTCGGGCGTGCACGTTCACTTTTTTTCACCCAACTCGAGTGATTATTATTATTATTATTTTTATTCGGAACGAATTGATAACTTCGATAAAGCGGGGTGTTTTGTCATTCACAGCTGCCAGTGAAGTGTGCCGATTTTAAAGCATCTCCCACCGCCCTTCTTTATTTCTCCATTTTATCCACAGTTACGAAAAATCAAATACTCTTGGCAAGAATTACTGCAAGTGTACATTTACCACAGTTATAATAAATCAAAGTTGGAATTTAGTTTTTAAATTTTTCAAATTTAATTATCGATTCAATCCTGTCAATCATCATTTTTATCATATTTATCATCATATTTATTTTAGTTAAAAAAAAAAAGGAAAATTTTTAACTGTATTTTTAAAATATTCTTTTACAAATGTGTGTTTTATATTTAAATTTCAACAATAGTTAAAACTTTAAGAACTAAAAAAAAATAAGTACGATAGATTATCCATATCAATCGAATCTTTCATCCTTCAAAGTCAGGGAGTTCCTAGCAGATCTGTCATATGCTTTAACATATTTTAATATCCTAGATGTCGATTATGTAAGTAAATTCGGTGTAAAAAATAAGGCGCATCAGTCATCGTTTACCTACGACTGAATTAGCAGTGAAAAATACTATTCGCAAGCATAAAACTGTGCAGACATATCGCCAGAACACTGTACAATACTATTAATCATTTTGAAAGTCGCAAACTCATGCAAACAACGACGACGTTGGAGTGAGCGAATGGTCGCATATATGAAATAAAAAAATATATATACGTTTGAAGCAGTCCTGATCTCTTTTACAGCCACGTCTGTACAAACGCGTATAAGCAAGGAGAGGAAGGCCATACAGAGATAATACAAAAAAGCAACAAGCATCCCCGGGCGTAGGAGGTGAGCGACGCGGCAGAGGGTAGGTCGAAAAGCGTAAACGAGGAAAGAATCGACGCGCGGATACGTACACAAAAGAAATCAAAAGTAAAAAAGAGCAGAAAAACATAGGCGCGGAGATAAACACAGATATAACGCGTATCAGTGTGGAATGCGGATGTATGCGCGGCCAATGCGCAGCGAGAATGAGAAAGATAGCGCGACGTACAGTGTGAGCTGTGCGCACGCACGCGGTTGAACGGAAACAAGCAAATAAAAGCCCTATAAGATACACACACTCAAACAGACACAGATATGAGCTCGTGCGATCGCGAATAGTCCAAAAAAGGCAGCACCAACTGCGACGGTGGGAGCGGCGGCGGCGCGAGAAAGATTAGCGAATGAGAAAAAAGACGGAGAAACTGCGAAAAGCGGCGAAAGAAAAGCGAATCGCGTGTGCTTATAAAACGTGTGTACGCGTGTGTAGGCGAGCGTTGGAAGAAGAAACGAAAGAGCGAAAGCGATCGGGGAATAAAGTAGCAAGCTCGAGCCTCGACGGCATGGGAAAACGTCATCGAGGAATCGAGTCACGTCGTCGCTCCTGGGGCTCGAGACGAGAGAAAACAGGCCAGAATCCGCGACTTGATTACCCCCGGAAAGTATCCCTGATGAAAATAAGGAAAGTGATCCCAACTTTGTATTACTCAGCTCTTGCGTGCGGAAAGCACACCGCCGAGAAGAAGAGAAAGAGAGCTGGCGATAGAAGCGCGCCGTTCGATTATTTAATGCCTCTCGGTGCGCGCGAGTTATCTATCGTTTTATGTGTGTATGTAATGCTGGCCGTCGTCACGAGCACTGCATACCAGCCTACGCATTCAGTGATTGCTGAATTCGATTGAGTGGATTTATTAGCTGTTATAAATCCTGAATGGTTTTTTCAATATAATATGATAAGACTGACTTTTTGAGAGCGAGCAAGAACTTTTTCCACAGTGCATCAATATTTTGATGTACGTTTTTATGGCTCGCAAGGATGTTTTCATACATAAATTAATATTTTTTATAAACATTGATAAACATCGGTCTTTTCCACTGATTTGCGATGAGGAGGTTCATTTAGGAGATCAAGGGCTGCAAGGAGTTGCTATAAAAAAGGCTCTTGACGAGGAAGTAAAAGAAAGTAAAACTTACCCGAACTAAAATAGGAAATCCCGGTATTGACACGCCATTGACGACTTTGAGATCCCTAATTAAAAGATCGTCCGGGGTCAGCTCACTTATGTCCGTTTTTGCTTTGAGAATTTGCTCGTACAATTGGCGACGTTCTGAAGCACTGAAGCAGCAAATTTTTTCGATTTCCTCTGCCATCTCGCGATCCAACGGTCTGGCTCGGTCTGCCTCTTTCGAAAAGTTTGCTGTGTCGATAAGAATTGGACCTAAAATGATAAATACTTAAAACATACAATCTACAAAAAATATCAATTAATTACACACACACACATATAACGTCGTCTCGTAACAACAATGATTTCCTATCAAATGTATCGTTTTACGTTTAAAGTACAAAAACAAACGACGTAAAGTTCGAATCTTCCGAATGAACGAGTCAATGAAATTCGGAGCGATCAAAGTATCTTAACACCGCTACTATAGTACTAATCTCTGCTTTTCAACGCGAAAAGCGTATTCAATCGAATCGACATCAGAGGCCAGCCGCGTTTACCCTTGGAAAAACATCACGGTCTGATCACGGAGTGAAGGGCTTAAAAGCTGTATAGTCGACCTTTGCCGCGTTATACTCGACGACGGTCAATTGAAATTCCCTCGGTATACCTGCGATCAGTTCCTCCTACCCTTTCTCGTATTCTCTCTCTCATCCTCTTTCTATAAATACCAGTTCAGACGTGTCTGCTTGCTGCCCCTGTTCCAAGCTGCGTCACCACTGTTCGCCTGTGTGCAAATTTTTTGATTTTGGATCTTGCACGCCTCTTATCGCATATTGATGTATGCAACAATTTTTGCATCTCATTTCAGCCTCGTAGACTAAAATATTCAAATTTGCGTTGTCGTCGAGAATGTAGGTAGGTTAACAAATCCATCGCAAACCGCGGGTCATTACTAATGCGCAGCTAAAATTGATATTGCTGCCTGTACTTTAAGCTACCACTTCTATACTTAAATATAAATCGTACTATGCTTGTAATTTTTACGTTAATCTTGAAAAATTGAAAAAGACTAAATAAAGTATAATATAAACGTCAAAAATCTTTCTTGTTCGCGAATAAAAACGTGAAACCGAGGAGTTGCCAAAGAATACGAGATTGCAAAGGTATCTCTGTGAGCCGGCACTGTAAATACTACCAGCTGTTACAAGTTGATATAAATAATGTAATCAGTCATGCAAGAGCTAGTAATACTATTGGAATCGCATTGGTTTGTTTCATTTCGGTTTAGCTTTGATGATTTAAAGTTTCCTTTAAAGTCCAATTTGTAGAAAGTAAATATTTCTCTTACAAGTAAAATGAACAAGTTAGTCGAGTTTTTTCTAGTAGTAATACATGTACAGTAAATTCAACCCCAAAAATATGTTGTATTTATTACATTAGAAAAAGCTCGTGCATGTATTATTTCAATTCATTAAAGTAATGAAACTCTTTATTAGATCCTATCGGAAATATTTCCAACCAAAGGAGCAAACGCCGGCTTCTTATCGCCATCGATGAAAATTCGTTCACTTCAGGGTCCACTTAAGTACATAAACTTTGGGTAAAGACTACTTTTTAGGATCTTTCGCTTCCCCTCGGTCGGTGGAGAGAGGGAGAGAGAGAACATTAGGCACCAAAGTACGATAATGAATGCTTAATTTGCTAATTGCTCGTAAGATCAAACATTCTATAAGTTCAGCAATACCACTAGGATTAAATGGCTTTAAATACTTCATTTTTTATCAAAAAATTATTTTCATAAAAAGTTTGAATAGCTGAACAAAGAAATTGTCAAATAATAATCAGTACTGGATCGAAATGGAATCACAAGAGCTGGAAGCACTCAACAATGTATACGATGTTCTCAAATGGGATATATGATAAATCTTTCATGAAATCATAACGTCAAAGTTAATCAAGGCGCTTTAGAGAGCGACGGGCAGCGATGCAGGAACATTAGTACTCCAGCGGCGTATAATTCGTTCGCGGGCAAAGAAAGGGCCAATTGCATGGGTATACAGAGAGAATCGAGTTGGGGCACGCATTGAGGGGATAGACACACACAATGATCGCGCGCTCCATACACCAAGCCGGCTAAGGTTAAAGGGAGAGAGAGAGAGAGCTAACGACTCTGGGCGAGCATATCAGCCGCACAGACATAATGCGTGCGGAGCGGCAGCACTCAACCCCATCTGTGTACAGAGAAGGAGCGAGAGTAAGAGAGAGAGAGAGAGAGAGAGACCCCCTTTAGAGCATCAGCATGACCTGACCGTAAGCGTGGGCGGTAAGAGAGAGAGAGGCTGGAAAGGAGGGAGCTTAATGCGGGCGATCTGCAGTATGTGTGTGCATACCCGCTTCTATTTAGGAAAAAGAGATAGAGGGGCGGTGGAGATTGTATGTATACTCTCTTAACCCTATATGTGTACCTATAGTCTCTTGCTCTTTCAGCGCGAAAAGTTGCGTGCGGAGCCCTAAAGGCAACTTTCGCATGGTCCCGAGGGAATAACTCTGCGGCTGACGGCTGACTCCGCGTTCATAGTGTACACACACACACAGCTATATGTATACGTATAACGTATATATACGTACCTTATACACCTTAGTGCATAGCTGCTCTGGCTCTCGAGCCCGTGTACTGCTTGCGCGTTCAATTATACCGAAAACAATACTCGGCGCGCTCTCCCGAGCTCCGACGACTATAAATATATAGGCCGCCACGCAGCTAGAGCTGGCAAGGAAATCAACAAGACATATAGGTTTTGCCAAAAAGAAGATGATGCATGCCTTTCTCCGCTCACCGACTGCGCCCGTAAACAAGCCCGACCAAAGAGCTTTGAATAATGATTTTTGTTTTTCGAGTGATAGATGCGCCGCTGCATCGCACAAGTGCGCGCCACGGAGCCCCCCTGCAACAGCTGGTATCTTTGACTAACCGTTTGCAATTTGCAAATTGGAAAATAACAGCGAGCGCGTGTACTGTATGCCATCGTGCGCTGTACAGACACGCAAGAGACTCCACAAAGAGCGCAACACACGCCAGTTTCAGATTGATCGGAAATATTTGTTTTCGCTCGGAAAGATTCGAGCGTTCCGTTTTTCGTAAAAAAAAGGATATCGCGAGTCTGCAACGCAGCTCCGCTAGTATGCAAATTTGCATTGAAGCGCGCACTACGCAGTGCGAGCGATTGGAGCACGTATGTGCAGGCAGAAAGTCGCGTGCAGCGCAAGTTGTTTGCCGTAATGAGACAAAAACTTGCACATTTGGTTAATCATCAACAGGAGCAGCAGCAGCAGCAGCAGCAGCAGTAACAGCGGTGAGTGAGTGACTGCAAAGTGAGTATATATACGCGCGGGCGCTTCATACGCACATTAAACGCACGACGTAACGTCAAAGGACTTTTGAGTTAAATTTGCACGAGCTCTTAATTAAATGAAATTCCTGTTAACTCGAAACTTGTTATATCTCTCCTTTCCTCCCTCGCTGCAGCCCACCCGTGGCCGCTCTTGCTCCCTCTCGCTCTTTCTCTCTCTCTCTCTCTATACACACACCTTCTTCTTTTCACGTTAACATACCACGAAAGTTTGTTTAATAAATATTATATTCAAACGTTTACAGCTATGCGCGGCTTATTAAATAAACGGAGCCTACACGACTGATTCGTGCTCTATGCAGTATACTACGTAAAATATTATTGTAAAATCTTGAGCTTTTTTATGATAGATATGAAAAAGAACAACTTTAAAACCATTTCGTTCAAAAATTTTCATTTTTATATCATTCATTTTTAAACGAACCTACCTCACAATCTCGTGAACATAAAATTGTATTATTTTTATTATAAAACCGTATATATTTAGTGAAACTTTGGAAGTTACAATTGATACGTTTTCATGTTAAATGTGAAAAAAAGGAAGTCTGGATTATACTGTAAAGAGATTTTCGAAAGAATACAGGCAAACGTGAATAATAAAAAAATCGAGAAAAATGAAAAAATTACTTACTCCAATGAGATAGATACAGTAGCCTACTTTACAAAAGAATGAATTATGGAATAATATTTAATTCATGAACGATATTATACAATTAACACAATGCTAGAGATAATATTTGTGGGAAAAAGATTGAAAATGAAAAATGTTTTCTTCGCACTATAAATAAAGGTACTAAAAATTCAATTCTCTCTGATGAATTTCATTAACAACTACCTAAAGGAAAAAAAATTCTATTGATTGATGATCTTCGATTGATCGCCACCCTACCTTCGATCTTTACACCTTGGAGAGACAATATCGAGACAGAAAAGGCAAAACTCAGAACTACCACCCGCACTCATCACTACAGCAGTAACAGCAAAACAAAGTATTGTGCTATAAATGTACCTGTTGTAAAATATACTCATAATTAGTTTTAATTCATGTTAGCCAACATTTTTGTGAACGAGTTTTTCAAAAGAAAAAACTAAAACTCATAAACAGGTGAGTACTTGATAAAAACTCGAGTATTCGAAAAAAATCCAGTACCCAAAATTTTTCGATCCAACCAAGTTTTTTCGGGACCGAAGTCAAAGTTCGACGGTTTATCATACTCTATTTGCGTAACTACAATAAAAATAATTGTTTTATGTAATCGAAAATTATACTACAGTTATTTAATTTTTTAAAACTTTTTCAGCGAGCATCATGCATCAATTTTTACAATAGGTCTTCTTCCTGCCTCTTGTTTACTCAAACACTAATCTCAGCCAACACACAGCCGCTGCATTTTACATGTACACATGGCCTGAGCAAACGAAGCGTTTTGTTGGTATAACGCAGATATTAATATTTGGACGAATAAGTCGGTTTTTACCAAATGTTTCCCCATCGACCGTAGCCGAATCAAAAACTGTTGCTGGAATGACGCGCATATTCTGCGAATCGTGCCGAATCGCCGAGACTAAACTGATGATTTATCGAGCTACAGGAAGGAAAATGGCCTTGGAAAATATTTAAAGCCCGGTTCGAGGGGTCTTGTAATATTACACGAGTCTAGGCTAGGCTATATATGTATAGCTGAAAACCATGCGGGAGGCAAAGAGATGTGAGCCTGTAAACTTAAAAAGTAATAATGAAAGAAAACCGTGAAAAATTAGAAGCAGCAGGGGGTGGCTGGCGATATAGCCAAGCCACGTTGAATCGCGCGCTCCCGCTGACAAGAAGAATTATGAGAACAATTATTGCTTACTTTTTAGAATTTTTTTGCCTCCACATTAGAGCGTACAAAAGATCCGACAACAAGCGATGCGTTATTTGAGGCATATATGGAGGAAAACCAGCACCATACCCACACAGACACGCGTGGCATTTTCGTTTTAATTAGCGAAGCAAAATATTTGGTAAAGTATCGAGTATTATATGCATATAGTATGTAGAAGCTCGTAGGAGAGAAATGAAGGGAAAGAGAGAGAGAGAGAGAGAGAGAGAGCCGCGACATTGCGCCCATCGATTAATTAGATGGAGAGCGCAGCAGGCCATTTTCATATGGGGTGCATTGTAATGAAGGATTATGATGGATATATTTTTAAGCGTTATGGGTAGCATTAAGGCTGCACAATGTTTATGTATGTTACGGCTCGGTTTTAATGAAGAAAATTTTGCATAACAAAAAAAATAGCAAACTAAAAAAATCTGTAACGTTTGCAAATTAGGCATTTGTGGCAAAACACTTTGTCGCTCGCGCGTTTGGGATCGCTATTTGGTATTTTTATTTTTATCGCCACGCCCGGCGCATAGCGCGAGCAATAGAAGGACACTGAATCTGCGGAATGTTTAGGGGGGTAAAATTGAGGAATGTAATTTATGGCTCGTAGGTAATAAATTTTAATTAATCAAACTCGTAACTCAAAACGATCGTAAAGAATCACGTAGTGTAGGGCGCATAAGCCTAATACTAAAATCACGAAGGCGTTGTGCGCGCGACGAAACGAATAAAACTTGCAAGTGTTAAAAGGCTCTACGCCATGTGTTTGCGGACATATTACTAACTTTGATATTATTTTTAAAGGTCGCGCGAAGAAAAAAATCAAGTTGCGTAAAATAGGTAGATTGTGTGTAGTCAACATTTCGGTGGGGATGTAATTCGCTTTGATATATTCTCCAAAGCCTCTGCAGAAAGTTAGTATAAATCGACGTGGCTTTGCTGATAAATGTGTTGGCCTTCAAAGTTTTATACGCACGCACAGCGCGAAGCGGCTACGGCTTCGTTGTTGAGCTGTGAATGAGGCTTTGGACAAACTCAACACCTTTCCCCTATGACACCGGGGTAGGGCAATCCTAAAATACCTCGCTAACGCGTATAAGACATTCTTTCGCCTTTTTCCCCCTTATTTTCGCCGTATTCAAGATCCATCCTCTTCGTATACAATCGAATCCCCAACATTTTTCGCCTAGGCCGAACAAAGCTATAAGACAAGAAAAAAATTCCCAGTGTTTTATCTTCATCAAGAGGATCAAAAAGCGTGCCATCTTGGTTCTTTCTTGGTTTCGATATTTTCGTCGAACGAGAGTAAATAATTTCCCAAAATGTCCAAGCTCGCTTTGAGCATTAGATTATACGCAAAACACTTGTTGGTGCGCATTTTAATTTCAGGTAAAAATTCGATACGAGATTAGTTGTCAGAATTGAATTGTGAAATTGCGCAGCGAGGAAGGAGCAAGCATAAGTATATTATAACAAACGAGTCCGACGCCAGGTCGAAACTCCTCGACGTTGCGGATACAAACGACAAGTTGGCAGCGTCACACGAGAAAGCTTTATATGCATTATACTGGCGCCGTGCAGGTCAGGTAGCGCATACAGCATAGAGGCATATAAACAGAGTAATCTCAAAGTGCAAAATTGACCCTATACACGGGAGCTTCATCCGTTCCATTCGCGCAACTTTGCCATGCGAACAGAGCGAGAGAGAGAGAGAGAGAGAGAGAGAGAGAGAGAGACGAGCACGGACTCGCGCACGCAGTATTCCAACTTCCGCATGCTCAAAAACAAGTGAGCGAGCGAATACACTGGCGCTTGAAAATCGTCCTAGTCTTGGTACTCCTCGCGCCCGTCTCTATGACCATTAGAGAGCAACAACTCTGCAGCTCTGCTCTACAGACGTGCGTATAACTGTACGATATATACGGGCAGTGCGCGGCTAACGCCATTAACGTCTGTGCACGGCCGACGGGTCACGAATGCACACACACACACACATACACAGCCATACTCGGCGCATTACTCACCCAGTAAGAGTTTGCCGAGCTCCGACATGCTGCTCGGTCGGCGACGCAGCACGTTCCGGGCGACGAGGGACGCGCAGCTGCCCACCTGCTCCAGGACGAGATCGCAGTCCAGCCACGGCCAATCGCGGTCTTGGGGACGATGGTCGATTACCGAGCGCACCGAGCCCCTGAGCCCCGAGTCGTCACCCGTCAACGCGTGATGGTCCAGCAGGCTCAGGTCCAGTTTGCCCTGCTCGTGGATGCGCTGCAGGTCGACTTCGTCACTGCGAGAGAAAAAAGATCCAGCCGTCAGTTCTCCAATAATGTAAATACCACATGCAAATCCCTTTAGAGCGAGAGAGAGAGAGAGAGAGAGAGAGAGAGAGAGAGAGAGAGGAAAAAGGACATCGAGAAGTTAAGCTCTTTGCGCGTATCCGTTATGTAAAGTTCGGTCTTGATAAAATTATAAATTAACCAAATGCAGGCAGGCCCAGAAAGAAGGAGAGCGCGTGGCAGCAGCAAGCTTGGAAAATATGAGATTACCAGTAAAAATAACTTTTGAGCGGGTGCACGAGAGAGCGCTAAGTAATCGGCTTACTGGGCTTTCAGCTCACGAATATTCATGTACATAAACACACATATAGAGCCGCCGCAGCCACATACATACAAGTGCGCAGCAGCGTACTTCTAAGCGAAAGTTAAGAGCAAAAGGTTGAGATACCGCATTAGAGAATGAGGTCTAGCCGGTTGGAGCATCGCAAGCTCTACAACATACCCCTATATACAGATTCGTCTTTAGAAACGCGCGCGAGCCTGCCTCATAATGCTGTGTACGTGTGTACTAATCCACAAGGGTCAAGTAACAGCGAAGCGATCAACTGAGACGCTCACAGATAAACGAGAAAAAACGACTAACGAGGCAGAAATTTCGAGTCCTTACAACTTTTATGTAGCCAACAACTGTATTACAATGTCGACTTCGTTATATTGGAAACGTGAAATTGTGTCAAGTGTCGCGGAAGCACTTGTTTTTCCGAGCCTTTATAGCTGAGAAATTCGCTTTTTGTTTATAACTTTTCACATGATGCGAAAGTATTAATTTCATGATTCATGTAACGTATGGATTTTTCGGTTTCGCGAACACAATTAATATAAATAAACGTTAAAAGCTTCGTTCGTAAGTGCAAACCCAACGTGTAAATGGATTTTTGTATGTGTGAAAAAATTCATTGTAATATACGTACGTACTTCGTATATTCAAAAAAACCAAGCTTTTTTCCTCTGTATATCTTCGTAGACTGAAGGACAATACGAAAGTATGAAAAATATCCCTTGCAAAAGTTTGAATGCAACGCGTATATAGATAGTAGTTATTAAGGTAAAAGCTCGTTTGCAAGGCTCGCTTCGCAGCAACATCGTGAAATTGATGTGGGGTATATATACTCCCCACGTCTGAATAGGATTCAACGAAATATTTACCTTTTTGAAAAAAGCGCTTATCTTCCTGTATTATAAACATGTTTTCGTTTTACGCATGAAAGGGAATATAGGAAACTATGTTTTTATAAAAGAAACATTACAAACGTTTTGATAAATAAAGTGAATTTTGACTACCTCGGCTGAAAACATCAGTTATCCTTCCGTCCGGTAAAACAAAACATGATAATTATCTTCTGTTTTCGGTTATCAATAAATGGCTCAATTACTATCTCTATACACTGATCCATAACAAATTACATAAATTAATGATCGAACTGCATGAAATCAAAGACGAAAAAATTATCCCAACTCTTTCCGTACAAATTCAGTCTGTGAAATAACTGTCTCTTTTATTAGTGCATATACAGTGGCACTGTAATCTTGCTTATGAGAAAAATTCGATTAAAATCGAAATGTAAAATTAACACGCTGTATAAACGCGAATGCTGTTTCACGAATGCTCCGCTGCCGCGCGTACATGTATAAATAAACAATGCATCTCTTTGCGTTCACGGCGCTTACTCCTAAAACTTGTTTGGTTTTCATGGACTTTTTTATGGCTTTCTCACGTGAATTTAACTTTCGACCTAAAAATGCCACGTCTTCTGTCGGAATTCTTATTTTCAATTGTTGGATGTCTTGGTTCGGCAACTTATAAAACATCATTGGTTTCCGTCGATATAAATGTAATTTAGTTATTTTTAATTGATACCTCGACGCTATAGCTTACAAATAAAATGTCCAAATCTTTTAAGACGAAGAATTTCCGTCGCAGCGATGACGCTAATCTCATTAACCGCCTAATGAATATTAGATTTCAGTCCGAGAGAATCTTGTACATGTAATTCTCGTCCGTATATAGCATAACGTGCGGATATATAATTTGAGAACTCCGAACTGAAAGCTTTTGCTTTCTCTCTACCTCTCGCTCTCCCTATTCCGACTCCCGTCCCGCCTTTCGTTTTAGGTTTGGCGAAATTTGCGAGTTAAACGTTGAGAGGGCCCGATTGCCATGAAATTATTAAAATTAACTAGTCTTACCAATCAACATAATAAGTGAGCTCCGATGTATATGTATATCGCACAAACGACGAACCGAGGTAAGGAAAGGAAAATTTTATTTTAAAGTGTATGAAGTATGATTCAGTAACGATTTCAAATGAATTAGTTCGGCTGTGCAAAAGCTCAAAGCAGAAGATGAACTTCAACGTCTGCACACAGGCAGTATTTCAATTGTTATTTAGTGCATTTCAAATAATTAAGAAAAAAATTTTCAATTAGCTTATTGATAGGTATAGCGTGACGATCGCCTTTACCGACGCAGGCGCGACGGCCAGCAAGCTACAGCCAGAGTGGGGGCGCGTGACCCGCGGGCCCAGTCACATCTCTCTCTCTCGTCCTCCGACTGTGATCTATACGCGCGCGCGTCTCCTCGTGAGACTCTCCGTTGTTCGAATCTCATCCCTGTTGTAGTTCATCGAATGTAATCATACATTGCGATATTAGTAACGAGTTAGATAGATAGATAGATAGTATGTTCATTGCGAGTGATTGAATTATTTAACTCAATAAATAAGTTTTGTTTCATCTTAAATAAAATGACAGTGTTGTATTCATTTATTTCATCCCGACAATCTCTCCAAGCATTATATCCCAACTCTTATAATGAAGTTCGCATGATGCAATTATGGTAGATTAAGTTTCAAAGCGTAATGAAAGCTGCAAAGGAGAGAATGTAGCAGTAATCTTTTATTGACAAATTTTTCGGCTTTATGCTCGTTTAAAAGCATCGAATGAATCGAGCGTATTCATATACAAAAATTTGACTCCATGGACATTGATACGTACGGATAGAAAAGTCGATTTATGATGTTTGGTTAAAATATGCAGTAGAATATATAGAACAAAAAGGTGAACGTACGATTACAAAGTCTTTGATGTACTCTCGTACTGCGACAGCGAAAGAAAAATCATTTCGTTGAAAAGTGGCAAAAAATATTCCGAGGCCGTGCAGAGTTATAAGTATGGCAGAGAGAAGAGGATATTTTCCACTCGAGCGCACGTAGGATATAGAAAAAGGCGCGAGGAGGTATGTGTGTGGTGCAGCGACTCGCTCGTAATTTCGTTCTTCATCGGGCGGAGTTGAGGGGTAAAAAAAAGGACGACGCAGGCATGCATCCGCAGGAACAAAGACGCGTCATACGCTTTACGCGCTGTCACGTACGTGGCATATGTGTGTGTGTATAGTTGCATACAGAGGATGTAGGACGTCGAGAAATGGCACAGTCGACATCTTCCGAAGTGTCGCTATATGTACAGGCGGCATCGGGAGAGTGACTACGACTCTAGAAAGAGAGAACACATCATCTTCGCGAAAAAATTGGGACGACAGCTCTTTGAAAGCATCGGAGGGAATAAAGGCGTCGAGCGACGAGAGATGAGAACAGTCGAGCTTTTCTCCTCCGAGTCTATCAGGCACGCGCGCTCGAAACGTTTCGACGACTTACCTACGTAATCGCACGAGCGCACGCTCGAGTCAATGCGTGGCAGTTGAAAGCTGGAGATGCAACTACGATGCACGGGTGCATACATAGCACTCATCTTTTTGTAATATCCCGGGCTAACTGTCTACGCCACTTTTCATTGTATGTACACGATGATGGTTTTATAAGTAATGGGCCTAGATGATGGTTCGATGATTATATGACTGCATGGCAACTGTGCGAGCAATACACAATGTACCTCGTATATGAGTGCGAGAGGCTGCGACTCTGCGAGCTTAATGGATTTATGATGATTTAAGATGCGAATCGTATGAGGAGAGCTATTATATACGCCGACGATTTCATGCTGCGCAAAAATGTATATCACACTGAGCTAGGAAAAAAATATTTACACAATGAAATATTGCACAGGAAAAAGTTTTTTGTCTCGAGCGAGGTTATTTAATATCAAAATACATGTTTGATGGTTGCTTTATCGCGCGACTCTAAACGTTTCATATACAAACTATACAATGATGGCAGAATTTTCCGTCTCGTCGCATCATAAATTGCTATGCAATCAGGATTTTAATCAAAAGTACAATATTTGATTTGGAAAAAATCATTGAAAAAATACAGGGTAATATAGAGTTATCACGTGAAATTAAGCTTTAGAAAATTGAATCTTTTCAAGGAAGACCTCGAAAATATTCGGATAAATATCAATTTACCATCGATACGATCGCTGCGCAGCAAAATATCGTGCGCGTTCATTATTTTACGTGTATCACGCATTACAACTACATATTTACGTGCTTTTATTTCAATCGTCATCAATTACAATGCACGAATACATAGCTGTTGATCAATCGAATATTTCAGGCACGTAGATATGTGTACGCGAATTCACGTGAAAAAAAAATATTAAAAAATGTTCCGAAACGTATGCAGGCATTCGCGCGCGATAGCGCCGAAAAGGTAAAATAACATTAATGCATGCAATATGTGTACATATGTATACACGAAATAATTAACACTGCTGGGCCAAGTAATACAATAGTCGAATTGCGATCGTAATAAATACACGCGCAAAGTATTGCCGTGCATAAATAATGCTAATGAAAGTATTTAATTAGTTAAATTAACATGACCATTGAATAAGGTATTGTGTGCGCGTCGATCATTTCCAATGCAGCACAAAGTTGAAAATAAATCGAGCAGCTACGTATGCAGAGTTTTAGCAAAATTACACCGGGAGAATGAATCCGGATCGACGGAAAATTTGATGTATCGACAAAAAACAAACTTAACTCGCGAGCTAGCTTTGTAATTTACGTTATACCGATCTATTGGCACGGGCGAGTTTGATCTTTAGTTTACGCATTTATGTATAGCTGCAGGAGAGCTTTTTGCCCAGCGTATCAAAAGATTCCACATTAGTGCAAACTGTCCGAAACACGTGTAGGCAATACCTCGAGTTGTGCGAAGCTACTGGCGCAGTTCTCTGCTTAAGTGCGTACACTGCTCTTACACGGCCGGTATTATATCCGCTTGACGATTTCATTTCGCAAACTACTGCCTGTAGAGCCGTACAAAGAGAGGCCGGCGTTTGTGCACCTATATAGGTATTCACATATAGCAAATGGGACACGTGAAAGGGTTCGATCAGTTATGAAAAAAAAGGTATAAAAATGAGCGTCGCAACGGACGAGCGACGTTTTGTAGTTATAATGGCTCTGATAGCTTAAAACGTGAAATCTCCGGTGCTATGCGATATGTATTTTATAAAACACGAGTCGATTGAAAAACAAATCAATTCGATGATATTCGGCTAGGATGTCTCTCCCTCTATCTCTACTCCGAGCGTCGGCTTATACATATATTGCAATCGACTGAATGAATTCATTTGGTCGGCAGGAAGGGGGCTAAAAAAAATGTTTCAATTAAGAAGCGTCTGCAGCATGGCGCAGCGGCCTAGCTCGTCGAGTATTATACGCGAGCCTAAAGGACCGAGGACGAGCGCGAGCGTGTAAACGAATTTATTGGACCGCGAACGCCAATCGGGATCCATTCGGAAACGAGCGAAAAGAGTTGCGACAAAGTCTAGTGGCCATCGGTACATTATACGGCTCATAGCAGCATGAAATGTCGCCTTTATCCATTGTTTTATTGAATTCTCATTCGTGCGCGCGGTCGTAGGAAAATTGTTTTTCCACGTAAACCAGCTCCGCGTGTGTCTCCATCGCCAACTGGATCACAGCCGATGATATCTCGATTAAAATCCAAGCGAGCAATGTGAAAACGCGACTCTCGAGTGCGTCAAGAGTGCGCGTCTTTATTGCAATTCTACCAGCGAGGATGGCGCATTGTTTTTGCTCCGAGGCGACGCTGCTGCAATCCCCAAAATTACCCATTCCCAAGCGTAACCGACGGAACTAAAGTCGAAAAAATTTCATCGATGTTTCAGCGCAGCTCTTTTTTGTCAGATATTTGGCATGTCGGCCGCGCGCGGAGCAAAAAGCAGCCCGTGCACGTACCGCTCGGGCATTATGATAGGAAAATCAATCATCGAACGCAAATGAACGGCTCGGATAAAGTTTTTCTCGCAGGCCGACCATGTTTTTTCGCCCGTTCGACAACAAGCCTCGAAGGCATGCACGGGGATTTCAGCAAGGGGCCTTGCTACAAGAAGGGGAGCAACAACAAAAAAAAAGAAGGTAAAAGAGTGGAAGAGTTGGTGTTACAGCGAGCCCAGTAGTACTAGTAGTAGTAGTAGTAGTAGTAGTAGTAGCGGGCGCGCAGGGCGTTGAATATTAATCGCCACGTAGAGCTTAACGCGTAGCGGCAAGTTTAGGCGTAAATTAATCAGGACGGCGTAGGGCATAGCGGTGCGAGTAAGGTTTCTCTCTTGCGCGCAGACGTGTTATATCAGCCTTGGCAGGGACCGCTATACTATGCTGCCGTACACAAAGGAGAAAAAATAAAAATGAACGGGAAAGCGAGAGCTATAAAGACGGCTCTTTGGCCGAGCGTTAAGTTGAAAAATGTACTAGATTTAATACTTGTTATATTACTCGGCACAGTGTTTGTTCGCAGCGGAGCTCGAGCGAGCCTCGTTATGGCTACCGGTTTTTTGGTAGAGGAGAAGAAAGGGACGAGCCTCGATCAATCGCGAATTTAATCAAGTCGTCACGAATCGCTCGTATACGTAGGTGTAATGGCCGAATTAATATTCCGGAAGGCTAATTCGTAGGAGCGCGTCAACGTGTCGAGCGGACGAGCGACGCTCTGCAACTGTAAACATCGAATGCGCGTATATATATTATATAATATGTAGCTAGCCTATGTATCGGGTTCGTGCGGGTTCGTGAGGTAAGGCGAGAGATGCATCCGGACGGGTGTTATATCTACACGGAGCATCGCATGCGTATCCATTCGACGCGCAATATCAGACTCGAGCTAATTTGTCAGAGTGCGCGTTGCGCGCTCCTCTACAGGGAGACACCGGACTACATATATAGGCTCGCAATCAATGACGAGGTCGGTCGCGCAGCCACTCACGCGTGCACCGACGCTACCAGATTGAGAGAGAGAGAGAGAGATCCCCCTGCAGTCCCACTGATCTATATGGACTATAGAGAGGAGAGATGTAAACGCGCGCGACACGCAGCCGAGCTCCAATTATCCTTGGCATCTGCGGCTACTGGAATAGCCGAGGCGCGCACTTATCGCTCCTAAGTAGTCGCAACTGCCGCTGCTGCACCTGTACATCGTCTGTGTATCCCTGTGACGTATCTATTTTGGTGCTATAGCCGTCAGCTCAATTCGGATAATCGCTCTCGCTCTCCGACACGTACCTATATAGGCTGTAACAGCCCATGCTCGAGCTGTCTCTTTGACTCTCTCTCTCTCTCTCTCTCTCTCTCTCTGCCTACAGTATCATAATAGAAATAAGCAGCAGCGGATCAGCGAGCTCTATTGAAAAATATCGAGCTGCGACTTACCGAAAAGTCAACGAGTCTACATCGACGTTGCATTCGCGTAGATGGTGGCGGACTTCGGTTTTGGTGCGAAACTCATTCCTTTTGACATTGAGCACCGGCAGGAAGACGTGATCCGGCTCTCTACGCCCGTCCGAACTCCCGTCTCTGGCGATTTGGTACTCGAGATAGGCCTGAGCCAAGGCACACACGGCCGAATCGAGGTCGCAACTTGGATTGCCCAGGTAAGCTCGTATCCTCGGGCTGTCGCCGGTCCTGGAGCAACCCCAATTCGTCTGGAAAACAAGCGTGGGCGTACATTTCGTTATTCATGGCTTGAACGAACGCAACGGCTCTTGTTCCGTCATATGTACATTAAAGTATTATATTATTGTGTGCGTATTGGCCATTGTGCGAGTCGCTCCTTGCTCCTACCCCAACCAAGGGAAAGAGAGGGAGAGGCAGAGCAGTTCTCTATGACTATTGCAGCGCGTATATAAGCATACAGGGAAGCAGCGGCACGTTTTGTGTTGCACCGATGGACAATAGCGCGAGGGCATTGTTGAACAGAGTAATTGGCAGTTGGCGCATACATACGCAGCAGTCGCATTCGACTTTGAGCTGGCGCGTATCGGGATGTTAGCTGGGCGGAGAATGCACCGCGACACGCAGCTCGTTCGCTGCAAGCCACAACGAACTTGCCACTCGTAATTCATGCTCGCTTCTCCATTATAATAATACTATAGATTAATTGTAGCAGCTCCTACTTACCTAAAATTAAAAACCCAAAAAATTACTTATCTAAGATAACAAATAAAATTATATTGACTCTTCAACGCGGGTATGTTATGAATAGCATAGATTACAACGAGACCCCCTCCGATACCGATTTTACCAAATAAAAATGTCAATGATTTCACGTGTGTATAGCGAGTGCGAGCGTATCTGCTGGCGCACGGAAGCCATCGGCCACTTCTCCGTGCTTATCGGAATTTTATTTTAAAACACGCGCAATGGCGATGCCCGAGCCTCGCGCAACCGCTGTTTCACTTTTTTTTCTTCTCTTTTTTCATTCGATATTATTTTGTAAAATTTCATTTCGGCACTCACGTATGGCACATAAAATGTGTAGTTGCGGAGCCGAGCTCGCTTCGGGATCGGACGCGTGATCAGAGCCCGAAACGAAATGATTTTGCATTATTTATTAAAGGCCGGTCGAACCGCGTGCGAGCTTGCGAGCTCGTGTACGTATATACCACGCAGATATGCCCAGTCCAGTAGCGACGCTTGCACGTGATAACGACAGGATGGAAGAATTTTCTATTCAAATTGCGTTATCGACGCTCTTCGTGCGACTCACTGAAAGAATTGACGCGTCTGGCATGTATTGTGGGCTCGATACGAACTGAATATAGAGTATAGTAGCAGTATGTAGAAACATAATTGCAGTAATTTACCAGACGATTCTTGGATGAGCTGAGAAACGACTCCATGATCCTGGCGAGTGACAAGTACCGAAATCGAGCAATATTTGAGTCGTTCGAGGATGGCTGGATCCAAATCGGATAGATGCAAATTCTGAGCTCTGAAAGAAAACAGACGATCGATGTATCATTGTGATGAACTCAGAAACCCTGTCGCCAAGTCAACTTTCTTGCGTCAGTCAAAAAAGCTCGCAGAATCGAATAGAAGGGCCAGAAAAATAACGAACGGTAACGAACTCATCGCGACGCGCAACGGCATCTGTGACGGGGACTCGGCACATCTTCGATCGGTAGGCGTGCGCGTTTCATTACCGACCGCGCGACTTTACGTAATCGTCCGCCGGTCGTTTTCGGGTGGGCTGAGTGATGAGTAAAAGCCGCAGGTTCGCGCCGGACCGATCAGAGCGCCAATCGCGCCAAGCTCTGCCCAAAGTTTCGCTTGATACATGTGAGAATCGTGGCGGTCGGTCGCGCGTCGCTATCGCAGGTCATTCGCAATTTCGCTTCCGATAATGAACGAGGTTTCGCAGTTGCGTAATTGTCAATGACTGTAGTGTATTGAAAGCTCGACTGCACGTGCAGATACGATTCGATACTGTAGGAGCGAGCAACGTCATCGCGCGATAAGAGCGTAAAAAGAAGCGAGTCGAGACTCGAGAGACGGCTCGGCGCGTGAAACATTAATCGACGCTCGAGTCCGTCCGCTAAGTATTGTATACACACGAGTTACCTAATGATTAAAAAATCGCCTCCCCGCGCCTGTCAGCGAGTCAAAGACAGCATTAGCAGACGCACTCGACTAAGCGCGCCACGAAGAACGAAGGTTATAACGTATTTATAAACTCGGCTCGAAGCGTACTGCAGTCGGTACTTACCTATGTATACAGCGACCTATGTTATGCGCTCGTAGTTTGTGTACCCATGCCGCGTACTCTTATATACCTACACATACGTGTGCGTGCGTGTGACTTTGTGCTCTGTATAGATATATCAGGCGTGTATTTTTGTTATTGTACATAGAGTCTGGCGATGGGCGTGCGCTGCTCTGCCACCACTGCCGCACCACTGTAGTCTCTAGCGACGCTCCTTATGTACATTTACAGCGAGACTGCCTCTCGCAAGTGCGCTGACTCGCCAGTACCACAGTTACAGCTGATTGAACTCGAGGCTCGAGCCTGTGCCATAGGCAGTTGGTCGTTGTGTGCGTGAAGGTGCGCTCGCGCTAGAAAAGCGCGCTGCTACACCTCTCTGCGTCAACCAAACTCCAAGATGCACTTATGATCGACCAAAACAACAACAGAAATCATGACGACCAAGACAACTACGAGAGACTCGACGTTCAATTTTATCGGCTGTGCGAAAAAAGTGCCAAGGTCTCGTGAGATTGCGCATCTTTCCTCTTCTCTGTGAAACTTGAAGCGCTTCCTCGCGTAAACATCCATTAGGTCCGTATTATGTACACAAATATACCCTCTTCCACTGTATACCTACACTACTACGTTCTATTTCATACAGTTTGTAAGTGGACTTATCTTTTTTCCTGACGAACGCCGAGAACAGTGACTAGTGAGTCAGGCGCGATCCTTTTTTATTTCTCGATATATTCTTACTCTCGTATTATTATAGGTAAAGAGTATCTTTGAATGTTTCTATTCCAACTCTTCCTCGTCTGACGTTCGAACTCGAGTATATAAAACAGATTTTACTGTGTTGATATACACCTGTATCATAATAATGCGCGAAGCCGCCTCCTATCTACCTCTTCCTTTCCATGTATACCTGTGTACGTTTTTCAAGTGTGACATTCGTTGCAAGCGATCATCAGGTGAATGGATTTCTCCATGTTCACGAGATGCTATAATGCCTCTATATATGCGCGATTAGTTTCTCTCGCCTCGCTCTTTCTCTCTAACTCTATATCTCTCTTTCTCGCGGCTGCGTGTGTTCGTGCCTCCTGCCTATAAATGTGAGTTCATTGTATATTTTATGCTCGCTTATAGAACGGAATACGGATACCACAGCATCCTTTCTGCAGGAAGAGACAGGTTATAGAGTGTAGGTTGACAGGTGTGTAGGCATACCGACTCAGCAGCGCTTTTTGCGAAATTCATCTCTTTGTCATTTACATCTTCAATATTTCAATTGAAATAAAAAATTACAATTTTTTTAATTTGCTGATGAATTTGATGACTAAAGATTAAATAATTTTTATAAAAATTGTAATAAAAAAGTTATATTCTTAAAAAGAGATGTTACCACATTTACTAAAAACCAGAACTAAAAAACTATTGAATGAAAAAATTTGTTTAAAGAAAAAACTAAATTTAAATTTTACTAATAAATGTTATTTTTAGTGTGAAATGAATTGCTTCAAGTCTTAAAATATGTCGTTACCTGTATCAAGATGAGGTTCAATAAACAAGAATTAATGACATTAGCTACTCAACCCTCTCAAAAGTTTGAGAAGGAAGGCATACTCTACGTACGAGAACGCCAAGAAGGCTTCTTTCGCAGAACAGAAAGTAAGTCATTTTTCATATCGAAGTAAAGAATTAAGAATAATATTATTCATTAATTAGTTTACTTTTGCAAAAAAAAATTTATTTTACATGTAATTTAAATGTAATAAATGCATGTTGTTGTATTTCATGCAACACCATTTGATTGAATTGAATTTTAGATATTAGATTTTTAGATATTTATATTAGATATCAATAAATTTTATCTTTATGAATATCCAGTTTGTGAATATCCTTCATTTCAAATTTTAGTTGTTCCAAAAAAATTTATGAATAGAAATCTAAAACAGTTTGTCTAAAACTAAGTTCATTATCTACACAAATTAAAATTTAAAAATAAATTTGTAAACAAAACAAAATGTTTAGTGAAATACAGTTTTTAATTTGATATTTAATCTATAATGATTTACTTTTATGTTTCCATATTGACTTGATAATAATGAGTATTATAATAATAGTATATTTTGCATAAAATTTATGATAATATCTGTTCATATTATGAGTAAAAATACATTTAAATTTATATTCCTTGTTTATCAATTAATGATTTTGTTTGGTTACTTGATTTGTTGCTACAAGAAACATTTTTGTAAATATGTGTAATGTAATATTTTATTTAAAACTGTTTTAATTGAGTTCATCTTTAACCAACGATTTTTACAAAAAAACATCTAGCAATTAACTTCGTTAAATAATTTCAATAATATTATGTATCTATAATTATTGCTGGATAAATAAATTTCTTAAACTGTTTCGTACTTTGATGAAAAGAGCATGTGGCATGATAAAAATTCAAAAAATCAATTGAAACTGTTTGAAGATTGCTCGCGTATTACATAAAAATTAACTGAAAAATGAAAATTATATGTTTGTATATTTCACTTTTAAATAATCAACTGGCGAAGGTGCAGCACAATAATTCAGAAAATTTTTTCGCGCTTCTCAACCAAATGCCAATATTGACTTATACCCGCGTTCACAATACTAAGCATTTTATTTGTTTTTCATTGCAAATACTGTTATGCATGAGTATAATTTTTCATTCAATCCAATTCTAATTCAAAAGGAAAACTTGATTATTGTAAATTCATGTTTTTTCCTTAATAATTATAATATAATTTTGTACATAATGGGGCACGGTTAATAACAAAAAGTACCTCCATAAAATTTCCAGGTACAGGTAAAAATCTTGAGACCAAAAAACAAAAAGGAAAAAAACATAAGATTCTGAGAGACTTCAGTTGCGTTTCAGCCAGCACGAGTAAAGGTACAACCGAGCGAATTTTACCACAACTTCCGGTTGGGGATGCTACTTTCAAATATAGTGTTAAATGTCGTTAAAAAAACTTATGAAATAATTTTTAATTTGTGAAAAGGTCTTTATTTCAATTGTTTCAAACGGAAAATTTGAAAGCAGTATCCTTGAAAGTATTCTCACTATTCAATTGTTTTAAGTATAAATATGTTCCTAAAAGAAGTACTTTCAATACTAACAAATTTTGGGATTCTTTGACTAACACGTATCTCGGTTTCAGTATCTATTATTTCGTTCACTTACATATTGCAGCATTGAAAATATCATATCACGAAAAAGAAATATTCTATATGTACTTCATTTTCTTCCATGCAATTTTTCCAGTATTGTTTTTTTTTGCATCGCATTTATCAGCCTCCAATCGGAAATCAAAGGAAATTATTGATTACTTGAGCTATTCTCTCTGACGTGGTATCTCTAAGTAGGGCTTATTTTGCTTGTGGAACATAAGCTTGTTACATGCAAACGACGTTCTTTAGGATAATCATGCATCGCATCGTCACACTAAATTATATATATCGTAGGATATACATATTAATCATGATGTCATGGAAAATGTCTAAATTGGACCGAGTAAGTTCATAATATTGATGTATATCCGAGTTGTGAGATTTTCCTAAAAAATTTTTGAAGTTTTACTTGAAAATTGTGGAACTTTGAGCGTTTTCCAATATTTTTTCGAGACCACTTTCGGCAAAGTCTCGTGTCGTAACATAAAAAAAGCATCAAATTTTCGACATAAGAATGTGTGTTTGCATCCTGCGTAATGAAAATTCATAATCCTAAAGGAACCAACAATGACAACGACGACGACGAAACGACACCTACGACGACAGGGTTGGAAAATATGTTTAAAATAACTCGCTTTTATAAATAGGAAACGCGTGTGATGTGTCACGTGCCAGCACCCTGCACATATTGCGTAGATCTGGCGATTTTATTAAAGCTCGCCGACTTTTGCAGGCAGCAAAAGTAATACTTTACAAATTACCGATTCAAGATGGTCTGCTCAAATGCCATAATGTGTAGCTCAGCGACGACTAATACGGACGAATATGTGGATCATGTATTACTAACACGGTACAGTGAACTTGCGACCAAGCTTGCAACGGTGCTTGAAAATTACTTGGCTTGTCAACAAAGAATTTTGCATGCGCTTTACTTTCGTGTATTAATTATCGATGCATGCTTTGCTGCTTGTTTTTTGCTTTTTCCATTTATCCTATCTCCGTAGATGAGCTTTTGGAATAGTTTTAGCAAAAATTGCTCGAAAAGTTGATGAGCATGCAGCTCATTTGATTAGTTAAAGTAGTGAATGACTTATGAACAAAGTATTGTATATCGTTATTACGCATTGAACGAGCGTCAGCACTATTCAGCAGACGGTGGATCGATCCATGCACGAGCCAACTACTCGACACGATGTTATTTCGGTGTTCGCTTATTAAATTGCAGATAATTGCATTTGACGGATATTACCTGTCTGTGAGCAGTGGGTTTGGTGCCACTCGTTATATTCGTACTTTTACGTATACGCGAATGATTCGATACAATCTAATTTTGCTTTATCACTCGTTTCCGATCGATCCACCCTCTTAGGTGCTACTCGAATAGGAGCTGAACATGTATTATTATTATCATTATTATTATTTTTATTATTATTATGTACATTCCGACACATTTATCTTATCTCTGTGGATAATTCATTTTCACCGTACCGTACATTATAGTCATCAATAATCCCGATTCCAAATCCCTATAGAAAAGTCCCCCTCGACCACATTGAAGTACTTATCCATTTATATCCTGAAAATCCTCAATGTTCCTCAAAAGCAATAATATATTTAACAGAAAAATGTTTTTAATAATGAAAATTGATTAATTGTACGATTAGTAAGTCTCGAGCGCTGGTGTCGTCTGCGAGGAAATCTGCTGTTTTACTTCAAGTCACGGGAGCAGTGGTCCGAGCCTCTCGGTGTCATCATACTCGAACAATTTAGCATACGAGTCGAGGCGCCCAACCCCCAGATACCTTACGGATTCAGCATAGGTAAGTCAAATAATTGACTCGAAAATTCCAAAACAATTGCTTACCCCATTTGCAGCTCGACTAAACTATGAAGCTATAATAGCATTATCTAAAACGTATTAAATCTTGCTGTTTGCTGTGAACTGAAATTGGAGACTAATCGCACGGGCGGAGAGTTTCAGCTTTCCTCGATCTCATCTCGTAAAAGTTATTTTTACAATCGATACCGAAAAAGTTAGCCGCGCACGAAAATAAACGTCGTGATTGTGGAGCAATTCAGATTCGACACATTTATATGGATATGATTACGCAAGATCGAATCTCCTCGCGGCGATATTTATGAGAATGGCTGTATTACGCGTGCACACATTGTCTTGGTGCAGCGGCTTATCCGACTGTCTCTACGCTTGTACGTTTGATGCGCGTAGGTGTCAATAAACGAACGCGCAATGTTTATAATACCGATTATATTCTACTTTATTTAGATGTGTTGTAATATTTGTGCTTCAACGACTTGAGCGTCCACAACTAGCGGTTCGAATATTGCCTCGACTCGAGGCCCTCGAGTGTTGCGTTTCCGGCGATAGGAGCTAGAACGAAAAAGACGCGACTCTGATTTGAAGGAATTTTATGAACTTTTGTACGTCAAACTGACGCTAATTATATATAAAGGAAGATATCGTGACACATTTCAATGGACTTCCGTTGCAGAGATCTTTTTATTTTCATTCGTTTGATTCGGCGTAATATTAAACCTTCGCACTGGTGTTTTCTCGCTTCGGAAAATGCGCGAATCTGTTTATGTTCCATCCTACTCGACTCGTGTGGAATCGCGAAACTACGAATACCTTTCAAATCTCCGCATGAGATTGAATAACTGTACTCTAATTGTAAAACTAAGCACTTGGAGTCTAATTTGTGAGTTTCATATCGCATCGCATTTCCTACGACTATCATATAAAGACGAATAGTGGCGTTATCCATTTTTTTCTAATAGGGTCTTTTGTATATCCATGCGAGTTGAAATATACTAACGTGGCCGCGCGCATTGTTCCCGATGAGGTCAATAGGTTGCGTTACGTTACACGTTCAGTGTCGTAATTAATATATAATCGAATTACGGTAATTTTTACCATCGATCATAACGTTCTATAGTCATTCAATAACTTTAATCGAACGATCAATTGTCATCTATTTCGCCAAAAACTTGCAATTTTCAATAAACACAATAATCATACAGAAAACAGTACTTATTACTGACAAACCGCGAAAGTATAATATGTGTTTGGCAACTTAATATCTAGCGTACATTACATTCCCACGTCTATAAAAATTTCATGTCATTCTCAGTACTCAAAATGTAGAAGCTATGAAAAAAAAGCAACAGCCTGATGCGGATTTTATTTATTTACTTTTTCTTATCTGCTTTTCATAATCGCAAAGTCTTCGACGGCGGCGTTTATCAGCAATTGGGCGCCAACACCTCGGAGGAACGCGATGGCTGGCTGCAGTCGCTGCAATTGGCAAGCTACGAGTGTATGCGCAGTCAGCTGTTGGCATTGAGGCAACGAATGGAGACCACCTGCGGCCACAAGCACGATGCCGACATACAGATGCTGAGATTAAAGCGTGGCATCGTCACCGGTGAGTTTTCCGCTTCCGTCGCGTCGCTTTTTTTTTTGTTCCAAATCTTTTAGCGACGATCGATCCTTGCTGGCTAATATACCTGTCCTATAAGAACAATTCTTTATTGTAGCACGAAAAATGCTACATCATTGATCGTGAAGTTCGGAGAAATAGTATTTTAACTGGAAATGTTTCATATGTTCCGTAAATGTGTTTCGTAAATATTTCTACGTAATAGCAAAATCATTTCTCCCGTGTGATAACGCATTTGTTTACTTTACCTTCAGAATATTATTCATTAGAGGTTATTTGTTATGATTCACCTTATCAAACTACAAGTTTAATTTTTCCAAAAAATATTCTATACCGTTCGAACATCTATGTATGCAGCTTGAAGAACATGTATAAGTCATAATAAAAATGAGCCACTTGAATGTTGACAGATCCTTCGGAAATTCCATTGTGCGAAGTGTCGCTGTCTTGTGACAATCTTCTCTGCGATGGGCACGGTCGACCACCGAACCCTGTCCTCGAGGTGGACATACGAACCGTACAATCTGGCTCCATGTGGATCAAGTACGCCCGTAGCGAAGTCGTTGAGCGCAGCAGCAATCCGAGCTTCCTGACGACGGTGAGCTTTCGCTCGAGTGACGGCATCGGGCCCGAGACGAGAATACGCATTACGGCCCACGACGTCAGGGAGAGGGTCAGTCAAACGGCAACGCCCATTGGTAGCGCCGTCATAGCTTTCAGTGCGGTGCAGGACACTCCGAGGTAAGACTTTCAATTTTTCATTCCTACTTTACTCCAGTTATATTTTACTCTCACGCACGTAATAATTAATAATTATATATTTAGACTGCGCATACCACTCAAATCTGCAAAATCGACTACGGTCGGTTTTCTCACAATCAATGTTTGGAATCTCGAGGTCGAAGACAAAGGGAACAGTACAGAAAGTACTCCTTCCAGAAATGTGCCAACTAGTACCTCTAATCCGGTTTATTGCCACAGACGATCGCAATCGCTTCCTCCGAGATTAGGTACAAAAATCAAACTCCCCCATCAGGGACAACTGAAGCTTTTGTTTGCCAATCCATTTATTCAGACATATAGGTAAAGATTATATTTGAACCTTCATTAGAAAACTTTTCTCATTTTATTCTTTGCTTATTTACAGATTTCATTCGGGTTTAGGCGGTGATATTTGCGTTCACGAGACTATGACTGAAAGCAAACTGTGCTTCCTCTTTCCACAACAATTACTGTACGTACTCTTGTTTTGTAATTATTTATTGATATGTTTTATTGATGACATATGAGTAACAATTTTCATTTTACTAAAAATGCACTATTCATTTGCAGAGGTATTTGGATTCAAGAAGAAAAAGAACTTTTACAAGAAGTTGCTGGCATGGGCGAGCTCAGAGAACCTTGGCACTCGAAACAAGTGGAACTTCTCGACAGACATCTGCATCTTTTGCACTTGTATTCTCAAGCAAAGGAAAATTTAGCAGCGTTTAAAGGTATACCTAAATCTAATATGCACTGTTAACACTTTTAAAAAGTGTGATAAGTGAGTGAAAAGTCTGACTATCAAAAAGTATTTTTAGAAAAAGTTTCAAACGTTAGTTACAAGCTCTGTAAATGAGCAAAGAAAGATTTTTTCTTAAGTGTCTGAATTACGGGACATTCACCCTACTTTTGCAATGTGTTGATTTAACATTTTTGTTTTTTGATAATTTACAGGAAGCTACTTCAAACAATCGTCGCGGAAAAATGACAGATCTTTAGAGTTTGCGCCTTTAAATTTGCACCTACAAAGGATGTGGGTTCATAATGACACTCTCAATAAATGTGGCCTCTATGATTTTGTAAGTGTGGGAGCTTTTACTGCTCACTCACACAAAAGTAAAAATGGTGGTCTTCTTAGGTAAATAATTTCTTATTGGAACTCTGATGGCTAGTTTGAAAATACTAAACATTATTATTTATAGATTAGTGCAAGCTTTGAAAGAATCTCCAGTAAAATGTAGTCAACTTTATCAAGGCACATCAAAAATTTCGATGGCTCATGATGCAATTCAAGCCATTAAACAACTTCGACGTGACATAGTCGATGCTATGCGTACGCTCATGAAACTTGCCAAGGATAAGCAGACAAGTGGGATGCTTCCTATTTGCGAAGAAATGATCACAAAGACACGAATACTTTTGAGTCTGTGGGACCCAGGTCTTGTCGAGGAGGCTCTGTCCTTTCTAGAAGAACATAAAGTTCCTAAAGTTCAAGAGGATACTAGTAACGATTCGATGACCCTCGATTTTAGATCAAATCAAACTCTCTCTCCTTTTAAAAGAATCACACAGCAATTAAATTTTGACTTGAAAAGTCCAGATTTTGATGAATTCGTTACACCAGATACACCAGTGTGCGTGCAAGATCTCTGGGCAAAAGAAAGTACTAGGAGTAAATTGGTCAATTTCGCATTAAAAAATAATGAAATTAATAGCAACATACAAAAGTGTCAGACAGATAACAATTTTGTAATATTTCCTGAAGTAAGTACAATTCATATATTTTTTATGGATTTTTTTCGATTGTGCAAAAAACACACTTTTTTAGGTCGATGACGAGCCAAAAGAAATTGACACCACTGAAGTAACCAGCAATGTAAATAACAAGTCTGAAGATAACAATAATCATAATAATCTTGATGATGATCTCGGTAAGGCGTACGTTGATCGGTTGAATGACACCGATCAGAGTAAACGCTTTCTTGACACACAAAAAATGTGTAATTCACCGTCTGCCAATTATTATAAGCCAACGGACGAACCGGAGCCATGGGATCTGACTCAATTAAATATTGAAGCAAGTGTCATGTGTCTTGTATCAAAAGTTAAATTTTTATGCGGCCGTTGTAGCAGTCCTGCGGTTAGGTTGAGAAATAAAAATGGAATCGACAAACACCAAAAATGCATAAGTAACAGCGTTAATACTGATTCTACTAATCTGGGATTGCCTGCTAAAAATGGAATAAAACAAGATGATACGAAAAATGATACTCGTTTTGAAAAATTGAATAAGCTGAATTCAGAAAGCTTTTCGACAGATAGTTCGTATTTTATAAGTTTCTCATTGATAGTAATTTATCATCATTTAATTTTTTTTTTTTTTCATTTTAGATCCTACTGTGATCTATTCTAATTCATACTCTGAAAAAATGTGCCAAGGCAACGATGCAACTCCCCGAACATCCAAGCCTAGTGTAGTTCAAAGAAATAAATTCACAGAAGGCTTGGATTTTGCATCTATTCACGATTGGCCAAGCGAATTGAGACCAAGCATGAAAAAACTCAGGCAAGCTATGGACGGTTTATTGAAAACAGCAAGACTGACGCATTCCGTATTCAGAGTGCAGGAAGACGCCAAGAGTGCACAGCGAATGTGCAATGTTAGATACAGACGAGATGTGTGCTTCAGCCAAGCGGTAAACGAACTAGCCATATTACTAATTTAGTTTATCAAAACGTTTCGATTGTTTTCAATCTATTTAATTTATGATGTTTTAGCTCACAGCTCTAGTTTCTGGACTAATGGCAAAACTTTGGTGCCAAAGACCAGATCCCATGTTTTTGCTAATCTTATCAACGCTGGGTCCACTTGTATCATTTGAGGGTTTATTAAGTTACTATGGCGATGAAATTGACATGTGGGGCGATATGACTGTGGCAGTCGAAGATATGCATACCGTCACATTTACATTATCGAGATGTGGAATTCAAACAAAGTAATGTTCTATTTTTATTATATACACGATTGAATTTAAAATTGGCAAAGATTGAAATGAAATATTACTAAATTGTTTTAGCAATGTCGACGGTAAACCACCAAACATTCAATTTCCTTTGCCTCGCGTGACTGGATCACGATCAGCATTGACGGTGCTTCTTCCGGTGCCAGATTCGATATATTCTTTACTTCCACTTACATCTACTGCAAAAACGACTTTATCCTTTAACGTGACACCAGTATTCTTTAATATAGGGATTAATGAAATGGCTTCTTTGGCCGAGAGTCTTGGAACTACAAAACCCCAAGAAAAAAGTAATCAAGATAATTTTGATAGACTTAACAACTATTATCTGCAATATAAAAAACTTAATATGCCAATGGAAAGCTCTTCAACGAGATGTAATAAAAATTACCTACTATAATACATAGTATAATATTTTAAATATTTATAGAAACTAATAACGTATACGTTTCTTTTACTAAAGATGGAGTTCGACTTGGAATATATCAATCATTAGCGGAAATGATGGCAAATTTAAAAACAGCTGTGCAAGCTAGAGTTAATAAAAACGTAGAAGTATTACAATTAACCTCACAAATATGCAGGCGGATGCGAGGTTTAAGATTCACAAGTTGTAAAAGTGCTAAAGACCGCACTGGTATGTCAATAACACTTGAACAAGTGAATATTTTGTCTGCAGAATATCACTTGGCCGAGCATGAATTTGCAAAAGCTTTGGATTGTATGAGAAGGTGCATATAATAATTTTCTTACAATCTCCATGTATGTAATTTGAAATATACAATCACCGTTAATTCCTAATCGATTTACAGTGAAGGATGTCGACGAGAAAATACGTGGAAAAATATTGGTGTAAGAAAATTCGCTTTCAATAGTCTACAAATTATGACGCTACCAAAACAGTATCGACCACCTACTGGAACTTACGGATCTGCACAAACTTAATTTTTAGATTGTTATTTAATTTACTAATATAATAAGGTAAACCTATTACTAATGTGATAGGCATAACGATAATGTACATATTAATTTTTAATAATTGTCTATGAGTCAACAGTTCATTTCTGTGAAAGAGTATTTCAACTTATAAAAACATACGACGTCGATAATTCGTATAGCATAGCATAATGCGTGGAGTAGTCACATACTGCTAATTTTTATTCCAGGTGCTACAATTAATGAAAAAGAATGAAAACAGCTTAGCAAATAGTTTTCGAGCAATCTGACTTAGATCTTATAATAATTTTTTTGTAAAATAAAAAATTGTATAGTGCCATTGTTTTTGTATGGTATACTTCGAAGAAGTAAAAAAAATTCTTGTAAACAAATTTTGACAGTACTAACACAAGTATTTGAAATAGTTTGTAATATAAATACTTGTGCTAGATATATTGTTATTCATACTATTGTATTTTATTAATTAATTTGAAAACGTGTTTTATAAAAGAAATTTATTCAAACAATTAAATTAATAAAATTCTAAATTATAATTTATTTATTTAACTTGTTCAAACGTGTTCATTCCATTGTTATTATTGAATCTTAATATTTTAAAATCATGTGTATAATTTCGTAAACAAATTAATGACGTTCATTGATTATTACACTACGTTAGCTTTCTGATTGTACATTACGTTATTATTTATGGGCTCAAGTTGGAGAAATTATTTTATATTCTTTAAACTTTCAATATTTTGAAATAATAATAATTTTAATTAAAGTTGATATAGTGAGGTGATTTATAATGTAATTCAATTGATTGCTTTCTGATTTTACGCTCCTTTCGAAGACCACTTTATTATGAACTTTTGTTCCGAAGTTTAGAAATTATTTACATTTTACATTAATGATGCACTAGTCACTCTCACCTATTCCACGTGCAGAAATCATTTCGCGGTGAACGGCAAAAACTACAACAATGGAGATTAATATCTTTGCAAAAAGTTCATTTTTAAAGTCAACTTTACACCCTATTCCATAATTTTTAGTGCAACTAAAAGAAATGCAGTTTAAATACGATCAATGTTGGAAAATTCTTATGGTTCTTGATAAACTTTCAGGCATATCTCCATTTTCGGACAAGAAGATACAAAAATTAATGATACTTATTTATGTATTTTGCAGCGTATCAGTAATAATTCCTTTGGTAAAAACATTTAAAAATTAAAAACTAATGTGAAAATCATATGATTAAATTTTTGATTTAGGTAGCTAAATTGATACAAGAAATGGACGTAAATGAGCATATTGTTGTAGAAAACTTGATTGTGTGCAGCATACATAATACAGTGATAATTAAAGTCATTGATAGTATTTTGAAAGTAGAGCAGGTAAATTGAAGTTATATTTTAAAATAATATAATAAAATCATACTCATAAATTGACTTATATTAATGACATTAATGGATGACCAATATTTTCATAATATTTAAATCTAGCGAAAAAAACTCTACGCTGAGTTATTTAAAGAATATGACGAAATTAACGACGAAGAAGAGAGATCATTATTACATAATTACTCAAATTCTGCTACACGAATTCTAATATCGTTAATAGGTAGTAAAAACTATACAGATACTATAGCACTGTTTATAAAAATATTTTTTTATCGATGTATTTGTTAAAATAATAGGACGTTTTTAAAAAAAAATTTTGAATGAATAAATCGATAAAATTATAAAAAATTCATTTTCCAAAATGTTATAAACCATTAAATAGTCTGCGATTTTATTTACAGTTGTTAACTGTATACTTTCAACGATATTTCTTACACTGCCAACTGTTATTTTAATGATAAAAAATTATATTAGAGGTATTCCTGCAGAAAAACAATTACCTTTATTCGTAGAATATTTTATAGATCAAGATAAATATTACTACTTGATATTGAGTCATATAGTCGGCGTTTCAATAATTGTAACAGTTCCATTTACGATCGTGGAAGTATTTTTCATCAAAGTAACTGAACATACTTGTGCTTTACTCAAAATAATAGTGTGAGTTTGAAAAGAAATCAGTGAATTTTTAGGAGCCTAAAATAATTTTTTATTCTCTTTAGAATTCGGTTAAATAGAATATCAAAAGTAATACCCACTTTTAATAATCAATCGATGTATTACACTGATAGTGAAGTTTGTGCCCATATAATAGATATTGTTAAATTTCACAAATATATCATAAAGTAAGTACTACGTGCTTTAATATTTAAGGAATTTTTAAAAGTTTAAAATTTTAATTGATCGTGTACATAGGAAAATAATAACGATTGATAAAGTTTTCAATGTGCCTTGGGGTTTTGTCATATATCAAAATTTATCCTGCATGGGATACGGGATGTTGATCGTAATTTTCAATCAAAATTCTTATTTAACTTATCAAGCACATAATTTTAAACAATTTTTCATTGCATTAAATTTTTTAGATTTCCAATTTAGACAATTTAGTCGATTATGTTAGGTATGCAAGCGCAGTATTATTATTCCTTATATACTTTTATAATATATTCACTCGAGGACAAAATATCATTGATCACAGTACGGCGATCGCTGACGCATGGTAAGTAGTAATTAATCTATTAATTAGCAAAAGAGGATATTCAAACCCCGTAAAGAAAAACCAAAACAGTCATTATAAAGATATTAAAAAATATTCAAATAAAAATCTTGAAAAAATATGACAAACTTTTACTTTTTCATTAACAGTTTGAAGTTTGAGTATCCTCTTAAAAAGTTTGTATAACTAAGTAACTTTTATTCCAACCTGAATAACTAAATATCGAATATTACCATTAGTTTTCATTGCAATTGGTATGGCTTATCCAAAAGGGCAATGAAGTTGCTGCTTATAATCATGATGAGAAGTAACAAAAAATGTAAATTAAGTGCCGCAGGAGCTCTTGAGCTTAGCTGTGAAACTTTTCTCCTGGTTTGTTGATTCACATTTAACGTATAAAAAAATATTGTTTTAATTTTTAAAAAAATGTTCCGACTTCTTACAGATGTTTGTCAAGGGTGTTTTTTACTACTTATTTATTGCCCGACAATTTTATAAGTAAATGTACTGTTGCAGTAAATTAATCAATAATTTTGACTCTCTTTCTTCAGTCACGCTACGAGTTCCGACTCTATTTTATTTTATTTCTCAATCAAAAATAACAAACAATAAAGTGTCCCGTTCTTTTATTTTGAATATTGCAGGTGTTGAATCCAATATACTCCTTATAAACAGGCATTTTCATTCGAGTGATAATGTTATATTAAAAGTATCAATCTTTTTTTTCAAAATATCGTTATTCATTAAAAGTCATTTAAATTATTATCACTTATATATTATTCGGGATATTCAGATTTGGATGATCAGATTTTTATTATAGAAAATACACTTATCACTTGTCCTAGCCCAGCTGGTGTTTTGGATGCATAAGAGCACGTATTTAAACGCTCGTAGAAACTAGGCTGTTGATCATAACGTGTGACTACGTTGCAGTAACAAACATTTTCTCAAATTGTTTATCAAAGCCTTTATAAATCATCAAGTTTGTGAATTGTGAAAGTTTCTCACATTTTTGAAATCAAAAATTAAAATATGTCACAACGCTTCTGGAGATGCGCGAAAACACGAAAAAGAAGTTTACACCGAGGAAGATCGTGCAGAACTGGCTGCAAAGCTAGACCAAGATTTGGATGCCCGGATCGATAGTCGTGAAAAAAAAAATTATACAGATGGATGGCCTGAGGATAATTGGGAGGATTCCAGATGATCCAACACAAGTATCTAAATAACTTAAATTTGAAATAATTTTTTTTGAAAAAAATTTTTTAATAATTTTTTTTTATACTTTGCCGGCTTGGTGCTACCGCACCTCTTGACCCAATAAATTTGTACTACTTTTAATAAATTACTGTTAAGTGATTTGAAACAGTAACTATGTATATAATGAATAATTTTTTAAATAACAATTGGAATCATTGTCAATGATACTAGTTTATACTTGTGTAACGTTGATTATTTACAACCGATAAAATACCGAATCCGCGAATACCGAAGCATTGTTCTTATGGGAAAAGGGGGGTTCGGTTCCTCGTCCGACTGAAATGTCAATTAGTAAAAAAATTTTTTATGAGAAAAAATTAAAGTTTTGATCAATATTTTTTTATTTTGTAGTAAAATATTGATTCAAACTTTTTTGTTTTGCTCTGCGCAATAGATCTTTGTACAAGTTTTTATAACACTCTAATGATTTTTCGATATCTTGTCTAAATTGAAGGCTTCGAGTCATGATTGGGTCGTAATTTAATGCTCGTTCAATGAGACGCTCTGCATCAGCCAAAATATTTCCAACTACTTTCGCAGTAAGAACAGGCTCGGGTTCCTCATCTGCAATCATTTCTTCTTCAGCTGCTGTATTTTGCACGATTGCATCAAATTCGTCGATGCTTCGATCGATCGATGATCGATCTTATTGTAGATTCATTGACGTTAAATCTTCGCGCTAGAAAAGCCACTTTTTCGCCCTCCTTCAGAGCATCTAAAATTTTGATTTTTCCACCAAATTCAGCACTTTTTTATTCCTCTTCGAAGGGCAATTCATAATTAAAAAAAAGTTTTTTAAATTTTTTTTGAAATTTATGCGCGAAAAAAAGGTTAACTTTGAGCGAAGAAACCGCGAATACGGAAACAAAATACCGCGAATACTGAAGTGAGGTCACAAACAGGGTTACCGCGAATATGGAAAATCGCGAATACCGAATCCGCGAATAACGAGGTTTGCCTGTATATCAAAAACTTTACAAATTCATTTAATATAAAATTACGTCTCTGATTCATGTCCTAATACATATATATTTTTAATTTTATTTTGAGTAATAAATATATCTCTCTTTATGATTTCTTTAGAATCTAATAAAACTTAATAAACAATAATTTCAGTCTATGATTTCAGAAAAGAGTGATTTAAAGCTTCTTCAGCTGTAATTCTAGTTGAATGATTCAAGTCCAACAATTTTTCAAGTAAGTCGTAAGCTGCGTCAGGATAATCTTCTTGCTAAAATAAAATTAACTATAGTAATTTATGGTCATAATTATTTGTGTGAAATTATAATAAAATATTACCAAAACAGATGAACTTGAATTACTATTAGGGTTTTTTTTTCTTTTACGTGATTTTTGACAAGTATCCCTCAGATCTAATGCTTGTGTATCGGCACCACATATAAACTTTTTACCTATTGAGAATCAATTTAAAGTACTGTTAATTTAAATAGAAACAACTACATTAAGCAGACACTTTTCAAGTTACCGAGTGCTTTGGCACATTTTTGTACAGCTTCAGTGCCAAAAATTGCGACAATTTCAGCAAGTGCAGCTATATCATTTGGTGGACGAAAAAAACAATGCGATGAACTTAAAATAAAAAGCATCATCACACCACTAGCCCACATATCAATGGCTAGAACAAAGTAGATATTTTAACTAACTTAAACATTTGTAAGTAACTTAATGTTATTGAGCTTCTTACCCATAGTAGGTGGATGATGCTTTAGTAATACTTCAGGGGCTCGAAACCCTGGAGTACCAGCTCGATTGACATTCTGTTCTGGTCTCATTATGCAGATGGAACATACTTTGGGTTTTCCCAAACATATGCATCTATTATCTGTTGATTTCTTTGTATCTTTTATCAAACTATTGACTTTATTCTGCTAAGAAAACTTGATTAGTTGAAAAATGCATAATTTTTCAAGTATAATTAAAGTCATAAATTGTTATACCTCATCAGGACATTTGTTTCGAGAAATTGAAGGATTACTTTTTATACTGTCGAGAGATTGAGCTAAGCCAAAATCTACTAACATATACCTAAAATCATTGAACCGAAATTGTTTTTTGAATATATTGATATAAATTTATATTATTAAAGGAATGAAGAAAATTCTCACTTTTTTTTTGTCTGTTGTACAAAAAGTTACTTGGTTTAACATCTCGATGAATAATTTTAAATTGATGTACTCTGCGTAGAGCTGTTAAAAGAGCTCGCATATAATCTCTTAATTCTTCTGTATAGGCATATTGAGTGCATAATCCTATTCCAAATAATTAACATGAGTCAACGTTTTTTTATAAATTTCATTTTGTTTTCTTCGCAAGAATTGACAGTACTTACAGCAAATTTGTCATGGTACAAGTATTCCATAACGAATACTACATTTCCAGCTTCTCTAATGCACAATTCTACTCCAGCTACATAATCTGTGCCACTAAAAAAACAACAATATTTTGAAAATGAATTCATGTCCAATAAATATCATTTTTTATGGATATGTTTTAAAATTCACCCTATATCTTTGAGACATTTCAATTCGCGTAAAATACGATTAGGCGAAACTGTAGGTACTAATTGTTTTATAGCATAATATTTATTGGGGTTGCTTTTAAGATATGCCAAAAATACAGAGCTAAATGTACCCTCGCCAATTTTGCCAATAACTTTGAAAATTGTTTCCAATTGAGGAACACTTTCTAGTAAATAGCGCACATTTTTGTCCTTGCGATCTGATAAAAAAGGTTAAATAAAAATCAAATACGAGCAATAAGATTTCCATTGAGATTTTCGTAGTGTTTGAATTCATAGCAATCAAATGAGTAAAGACTAACTTTCATCGATATCATTTTCTTTGGAATTATTTTTTGATATTTCTAGACTCATCTTGACTTTCAACACTTTAAAACAAAAAATGTGTATACTTGTTTGTTCATTTCATGATTCAACAGCAACGACTGAAAAGCGCGCTAAAAGCGTAGACTTGTGAACCGAACTTTTTTAAGCGCGATATTCGAAAAAGTACAATAATTCTAACATTCTGCAATTGTAATTTTGTTTACAAAATTAATGAATTAAATCCGTTTCGATCGATAAAGACAGATACAAAATTATTGAACTCGACTAATAACTAGTTCTAGCGCTTAATGCGATGATAAAAAAAAATTCTCGTACAGTATTGTTCAGACGGTTTGGATAACTTTTTATTGCTTTTTTTTGTACTAAACTCTTGAAAATTAAAAACATATAATTATTTCATAAGCATTGCTTTTGAAATAACGACACATAAAATAAATCAAATTTGTGGGTTATTTTAAAGTGGCCTACTCAATGCTCATGATTCATTAAAAAAAATGGTGATTTTCTTATAGTAGTGACCGACAGTAATTGAGGTGAGATAGATAGTTTTCAAACACTTGGAAACATTTTTTACCATTTTTTCTTTGTGCAGTATTCTTATTTACTTTTACTGCGTTAAAAAAATATCATTCAATAAATAAAATTATAAACTTTCGATTGAGTATATAGTAGGAACACTTGATAACTTGAAAAGTTAAAATGTTCATGAAATATAATTTTCCTAAATGAGTCGCAAAATCAAATTTTCGAAAAGTATTCGCTGAATCAGAATTGATAAAATTGATTCATTTACGTTTCAATCATTACCAACGTTCGAAGATAAGTTTGTTTATAACTTACAATAAAAACTGTTTAAATTTTTTGTCGAATTGTAATCATGAAGTGTGAATTTGAATAAAATGAGAATTACCACTTACCATAATCACCTAGTATATAACGATTTCTGTCCAGCAATATTTTTAAGAGTCGAATTTTCAAGTTTATGCATGATAACTTTTGAAATACAATGCCGATGGGTCCAAACGTTTTTGTACCTATATTCTCAAGTAATTATTGTTTGCATTCTGCAAAATGTTTGCATCGATGCCTAGAAAATCTTGAAAGGTAGGAAGGAAAAAACTAATATTGAGATTCAAAAATATTTCCATAGTTTACTGGCATTCGTAAAGTCTGCTTCATAAAGGGTGCTAGAATTAGAAAGAATAAGAATTGCGTTATGGTCTATGGCTTGATTATAAACAAATTTGAATTATTTTTTTTGGATTTGCCGATCACAAATTATAAATTCACATGCATAATTTTATCGATGTTCAAGGTGATTGATTCATTATACATTGAGAAAAATGAGAACAAAATAATTCGGTAATAAATACCGACTGAGTGGAAATGCCTCGCCTTTAATTGAGAAAAATTAGAATTCAGAGTAGCAGACCATAAGCAATGGCAGCACCAAATTTCATACACCCCGGTTCCCGCCTGGGCGGCGTTTCGTTGCAGGGCAATTGACGTCTACTGTCTACAGTGTTTACTGCTTCGTCAACCAGTACCGAACGCATGCGGCTTATGAAAAGCACGTGGACGGTGGTACAACTATAGTAAACAAATCGCTGCATTGGAATATTTTGAATACCCTACGACAGATACTTTTTCACCATGTCTGACTTGCAAGAACAATCAGTTGATGATAGATCTTTCTCATCATTCAAAGATAAAGTTTGTGAGCGTTCTTTAAAAGGAATTGCCGAAATGGGTTTTACACAAATGACTGCCATTCAAGCCAAGGCTATCCCTCCATTATTAGAAGGACGTGATTTAGTAGGAAATGCTCAAACAGGTTCAGGAAAAACTTTAGCTTTTCTCATTCCAGCTGTAGAATTAATTTATAAACTTGAATTTAAACCTCGTAATGGTAAGAAAAGTTAAATCATTAAAACGTTCATTTTATGTTGTTACAGCAATTCTACAGTTTTACTTGATCTTCAGGTACTGGATGTATAATCATTTCACCTACTCGAGAATTGTCAATGCAAACTTATGAAGTATTAAAGGGATTGACAAAATACCATAATCATACTTGTTATCTTGTAATGGGTGGCGGAGATTTTAAACTTGAAGCTGATAAGTTGAAAAAAGGTGTGAATATAGTTGTTGCAACACCTGGTCGTTTACTTCAACATTTACAAGAAACCACAGATTTTTTGTTCAAAAATCTCCAGTGTTTAATTATTGATGAAGCAGATAGAATTTTAGATATTGGATTTGAAGAAGAATTAAAACAAATCATCAGAATTCTTCCAAGTAAATTGAGTGCCATCTATGTTATGATTAAAATTTAAGTTCAAGACTTATTGAAATATTAAACTTTGCTTTCCAGAAAAAAGACAAACAATGTTATTCAGTGCTACCCAAAATGAAAAAACAGTAGCTTTGGAAGCACTTGCATTAAAAAAATCACCAATTTATGTTGGTGTAGATGATCATAAAAATGAAGCAACAGTCAAAGGTCTCAAACAAGGATATCTTGAATGCCCTAGTGAAAAAAGATTTTGGATGTTATTCTCATTCTTGAAAACAAAACTTGAGAATAAAGTAATGGTATTTTTTAGTTCATGTACATCTGTAGAGTTTCATTACAAACTTTTCAACTACATAGATTTACCAGTTATGGGCTGGCACGTAAGAAATTATTTTAAGTTGCTTTAATAATTCAGACCTACCAGGAGTTTCAGTATTATTAAAAAAATATCATTTCATTTTGATAGGCAAACCAAAAACAAAATAAACGTACAGCAACATTTAACAAATTTCGTAAGGCATCATCTGGCATTTTGCTGTGTACAGATGTTGCAGCAAGAGGATGCGACATTCCAAATGTTGATTGGATTGTTCAATACGATCCTCCACAGGATCCAAAAGTATGTACCTTGTAAAGAATTATTAGGATAAATGAATCAAATTTTTACTCAACAATTTTTTTAAGGAATATATTCATAGAGTGGGCAGAACCGCTCGAGGCGAAGGCAGCAGTGGTAACGCAATTTTGATTCTTCGGCCTGAAGAGTTGGGATTTTTAAAATATTTAAAACGTGCTAAAATTCCGATAAATGAATTTGAATTTAAGAAGATTGATAGGATAAAACCTGAAAAACAAATTCTAGTAAGTAGAATGAATTGATTGACTTACTAAAAATAAAATTTTTAATGTTATCAATAATCACAACTATTACAGTTGGAGAAAGTGATTTCAAGAAATGACTACTTTAGACCTATGGCTGTACAAGCTTTCCACTCATACATACGATCCTACGAGTCACATCGCTTGAAAAATGTATTTGACAGAAAAAATTTGGATTTAGATAAAGTAACGAAATCATTTGGATTGACAAAACCACCAGCATCCGATCTTGGAAATAATAATTCCCGACCTAGTAATAACTTTAACGAATTTCGTAAGTTGACAAATAAAAACAGGTTGTCATCGTGATAAGTCATTTATTTTTGATATAACGTAAATTTGTAAATATTTAAATATATTTTTAGTTTTACGATCATGATATTAAATATTATTGTAAAAAAACGTATTGCTTTTAATTTAAAGACAGAATCATTATTTAATAAGTAATGTACATTTTTTGAGATGTAAATAAAACTTTTGAAAAATTTTACTTAATTTTTTTCTTCTAAATTTTATTTCACACCTTGAATACTGTTACCTTCTTGAATGACTAATGGATGGAAACTAAAAAATAGGGTAAGTTGTGAGAATTTACATTATTTCAACAAATTTTAAAGTTGAATCATAGTAATTTTATTACAAGGATATAAATTTATATTTACAAAAGAGCGGTAGTAGTATTTCATATTTATTTAACACTTATTTTTTTTAATATTAAATAAACATTTTCTACATTAACAAGAAATGCAATTTTTTAGAATATTTGTAAGGCACCAATTTTTGTTCTATCTTTATAGATGAAAAACACGATCTGTTTTGATTGCAACATTATATACGATTTTACTAATTTCATAGCAATACTCAGTTAATAGTGTTGAGTGTTATATGTACAATTTTTTATAGTGCAATAAATAATTATTCATTCTACTTTATCTAAAACATTTTCCACTTGTTTTGGAGCAGGGACTACTGGGGATGATTCTGGGCATTTTTCCATGAGTTTCCATTTGGCAGCAGCTTCTAATGCTTGCATTGCTAATTTTTTGATCTTTTGATTTTCAACCAATTCACTTTTTGTGAGTGCCATTAAAACTTCCATGATATCAGTTTGTACAATCCTCGTGGCAACGTCTTTTGAACAATTCATGATATTATTTATTATGACAACTCCTCTGTGTTGTACATCTTGATTAGGATTGGCTAATAAATATTTCATAGCATCAAGCCAATTTTTAGAATCAAATATTTTGCAACATGCAGCTTTGCATACTCCTGTCAGCATAGCCAATGCACCTGAAGCAGCTAAGCATGTATCCAAATCTTCTTCTTCACACAATACTACCAAATATTTAGTTCTATCATTATCACCATCATAGAACTTAATGGTATCTTCACACATCATCAAGTTATTGATACATTGAGCAGCTGCTCGTCTTAATAGATCGTGTTCTTCATACATATAGTTTTCGATTTTTGGAAAACCACCTTCCTTTAAAATTCTTTTACGAACTAAATCATTTACGCCTGCTAAATTGCAAAGAGCCATCATTGACTCAAAATTTTCTAAAGCACTGCATTCTACATTTAAAAGATTAATGAGGGGTCGAATAACTTCGTAAATTCTTTGACCTGGGAAAGCTACTTCTGGATTGATTGTTATTCCTAAACGCGCCAGAGCTTGAGAAGCAGTTTTTTTGCCCTTATCAGTACCATCTAAAGCAAGAGGTATGAGAGCTTTTGCGCCACCTTGTTGCACTACAGTACCTCGAACATCAACTTGTGCACAAATTGCATTAAATATACGAGCAATGAGCTCCTTACTATTTTTACTATCTGTTTTTGAAAGGGAAACAAGAGCAGAAGTAACTCCAGCCTTAGCTAGAGCAATGACTCTTTTAGCAACAAAGTCTGGGTCGTCTAGTTCAGATTCTTCAGGAATATGATGTTTGGCAAATTTAGCTAGCTCAAGCATTTCAGGAAGAATTTCTTGTTTGTCATAAGCATTGCACAAGTTTACTAATGTTGTAACAACTCCATAGACGACTGATTTATCACCAGTTTTTGATAGTTCTATCATAGCCTGTATGGCTTCTCTATCTTCAATTAATTTTTCCTTAACTTCAGCATCAAATGTCAAATAAGAAAGACCTTCAACAGCCCATTTTCGCATGTCTTTGTCTTTTTTAGGATTAATTAAGAATCGTCTACAAGCTTCAGCAAGTTTTTTTGAAGCTCCATCGGCGAATGGCCGAATAGAAACATCTGTACCACCAGAACTACTCAGTTTACAAAGGCCCACTAGGGCACGAACACGAATCGAATCGTCCTTTGATTGATAAAGTTTTTTCAAGATATTCACTCCTTGATTGATAATACTGGTTGCTTTATCTTTCTTTGAAGCTGCTGCTATGATACATTCGCATGCAACTTTTTGTTGCAAAATGTCATCTGTACCAGCCATAACAAGAATCATTTGTAAAATTCCATCTTTAGCTACTACATTGTTTCCAACATCCAATGGTCCTAACAATAATGTAGTAATTGCCACAACTACTCTGACCTATAATCAAAATGAATGCACATTTATATTTTTGGTTTCAACCAATGAAAAATAATATTCATTAGCATAAGCAGCCTTCACATCCTACCTTTGATTCAATATCTGGAGATATCAATTTGTCCTTAATAAATTCGTCTATGGCATCTACAAATCTTTGTTTTGCTGCATCGTAATACATATTCTCATATATCCTAGCTAAGCAAACGCTTGTAACTGTTCTAGTTGACGATGTAATATTCATAGCAGACTCATACTTGTATTCTTCAAATTCACTAGCAACTTCCATTAGTCTTTGTAAGCCTCCAAGTTCAACAAGTCGCTCAGCCCAATTCAGGGCATCGTAATGAATATTTCTCATGATTATTTCTATAACAGCATCTCTCCCTTCACCAGTAAAAGTACGATTTGTTGTACAAAAAAGTAAACTAGAAAGAATGGTATCAATTTCTTTTTTGTACTTTTCACAGTACTCTTTATCTGGCTTTGAATCTGGTTTATTGTCCATTTTACTGTAGCTATTTAATACAACCTGAAATAATAAAGAACTTTTGTGACAACTTCTTCATTATTACATTTTATGTACATAAGTTTAGTAGTAAAATTTTAATACTTGTATGCAGTATTGAGCAGCATTCACTCGATCTTCTGATTTACTGTTTATAATATCAAGAAACCAGGGAATACCTATGTCTTGTAATATTTTTTCGGTTCTTTCAATATTATCTTTGCAGAGTTCTGCTAGTATGCGAATAGTTGCAATTATAATATTTTCATTTTTTTCTGTTTTCAGAAGTGTATGGATCTTCATTGCCATTCCAGCTTTATACATCAAATCTGCACCAGCTTTTTCTTTAGCTAGTACAAGTAAGTTATTCATAGCAGCTTCCCTTTTTTCTTTGTCAACTTTGAAGTCAAATGCCAATTCAAACATTTGTGCAACCTGTAAAATGAATAAAAAATTTAATTGTAGATGATTTTTAAAATTTTCATTATTTTTAATAATATACTTTAAATACCTTAGCAGATGTTTTAGAATTTTCACGCATTCTTTCTTGACAAAGTTGGTGAAGTTTAGCTAGGGTTGGTTGAATAGCTTTATTGCTTGGATCAGCTGCTATAACAGCTCTAGCATCTCGATAAGCTTCCTCAAATCTTTCTAAAGCTTCATAGGCCTGACATCTTCTAAACAATGCCTTGGGATCGTTTGGTGAAATCTTTAGAGCCTCATCACAGTCTTTTATGACCTTTTGAAATTCTTTTTTCTTGAGGTAAACTGCAGCTCTATTTTTATAGTAGACAGCCTTATCAAAATTATCTTCGTTTGAGAGCCTCAAGGCATTGGTATAACAACTCAAAGCCTCGTCAAAAAACCCGTTATTAAATTCTTCATTGCCCTTTTCCTTCCATTCCTTAGCAGTCAGATCACTTTTCGTCATTTTTATCAGTTTATTCTAGAATTATTTAATAATTGATATTTCAGTAATGATTTTAGAATGAACTATTTAATTTAATGGTATACATATGCAATAATAAAAACTCGAGATACTTTAAAACACTTTAATCTCTCTAATATATGCTAGTTATTAATTTTGTAAAAGAGTAATAAAAAAATTCACGATTCAAAAGTCTGACACTTGTATGTATTCTAATGAGCAGTGACTCTAGTAAGATTATGATTTGTAAATATGGCGATTTAGAGCATCGGGTTAGCAGAAATCAGCTGTTTATTGCCACGCAAATGTATCGCAATTCCCTAGTTTAAAAATGTAACGAAACGTGGGTATTTTTTAAACTCCCATAAAAGTGCCGTACTCGAAACAAAGTTATTATCGTGGTGAATTGTCCGGTGGCTCGTCGATTCGCCTTATATGGTAAGGAGCTAATTTTTCATTTATATTTCTCTATATTTTATTTTATATTAATTGAAGAGGAATTGTTATAAGTAGGCTTATTTTTTATAGGATGAGATTGAAGATTAAGGACAAGTATGAAAAAGTATTAATAAGCAATCAGGACTTTTTATATCTTACCAATAGCTAACTCTTATGTAAAATAATAACTGTTGTAAAACAATGATTAATTTTGGCGATCAAAAATCACTACAACAAACTGTTCTTTAAAATTTAAAATTGAACTAAACAAAAGTTCAATATATAAGTATTCGTTAGTGTTGGCGTTTCAAACTTTACTGAGCCACGCATTCATCTCGGCAAGTATAAAAACGATGAGAGCGTGGTTCTAGAGTCCACGAGAAGCGACTCGATTCGTTTTGAGTTATTTTGAGCTAAAATATATTTTTTATATATATACACAGATATGCTGCCTGGTGCAAATTTCATGCCAATGCTTGACATGTATTTATCTGATTCGAGATAAAAATAGCCCTTCACGCACAGTGGTGTAATAAAAGTTTCTAATGTTTTTACTATACTAACATGAGCGCTTACTATAAGGTGCTGTTGACTTCTATAGCTTGCGTTGGCTATTTTTACATCGAACCCTTGCGAATGACGCTAGTTGCACAAAGAAATTGCGAGAAATTTCTCACATTTTCACGAATGAAATTCTCATTTTCTTTTTTTTCTTTCTTTTCGGACAAAAAAATTGTTCAGATATTCAAAAAACAATAAATATTTTTATTAAAGTATAGCCACATTTCATGCGTGATATATAATTAATAATCGAAGAAAATTTCGACGTTTTTGCACCTAATCTTATTCGACATAAATATAGTCGCTATAAAAATCTTGAAATTTTTACATTCGTTAGCAGTCATTGTAAAAGTTTAGTTAAAAAATATATAGAATCAATTATAATATGTTTTCGTTGGATAAATTGATATTTTTTTTCGACCCAAGTAAAATAATTATAACGGTCACAGCAGTCGTGATCGATTTTTTTCTCGTGGAAGACACTAAATAAAAACAAGTTGTAATATAAACTTAATTTTTCAATACATTTATCATCTTAGAATTAAACGTAACGAGATCGCACATATTTTCATAAAGCTAAAATTAAGTAAATTTACAATTGTCTTTGAATTTGCACTGCACAGAAAGGCAATCATTCACAGACGCTTCGACTCAAAGAAATAGTCGAAAATTTTGAGAAATTCCTTTTGGAAATTGGCTCGCGTGAACTGATCGGCGGTTCTCCGGGCCGCCTTTTGCATCCGGCGTTTTTCCATCGGCGAGGTACCGAGAGCCCGGACCAGCGCGAAGGCGTACTCCTCGACGCTTTTGGCCAAGAAGCCGTTGCGCTCGTCGCCCTTGGTCACGATGAGCTCGCGCCTGCTGGCTCCGGACTCGTGGGCTACGATGATCTGACCGGTGGCCAGTCCAGCCAGCAAGTCCGAGCCAAACTCGTCGTTGGGCCTCGCGTAAATGCCGTAAGTGGCCTTGATCAGCTCCTCCTCGAGGTGGCTCGGGTGAATGCTCTGGGGATGCAGCTTCACGTAGTCCTCGAGATCCAGATTTTTCACCAGGTCTCTCAAGCTCTGCAGATAGGCGTGATCGAGCTCGTCGCTGCTCGTTTGCAGATTGACGAGGATGAGGCGCGTCGTCGCCAACACGTGGTCCTTGGCCTTGCTCAACATTTTGCCGTAGGCCTGGATGATGACCTCGTGATTGTTTTCGGGCACGAACTCGCTCGCGTTCAGTATGCGAAACTCCTTCTTGATATCCGAGTAGGCGTCGGCTCGCGCCATCAGCAGCTCCAAACCGATCGGCGGATAGATGAGTTGCGTAATCTGAGGGCACTTCCAGATCGCGTTGATGTTTTCTTCGGTATAGGCCGAGTTCACCAGGACGACATCGGCCGCTCTGCCAGTTCGACCATACAGGTAGGCTATGCCTGCGTAAAAAAAGTCATATTTTTACAAATTAGCTATTTTAATTTGTTGGCGATCTTCGAGTTCATGTATCACAGAATTAACGTACCTTTGCTCAGGCCCAGAGCACTTGCCGATCTCCTGGCAAGGACGTACTGATTTCCGTAGACCACGACATGCCTAGTTTTCAGCTTGTCGATCGTCACCATCGGATTGTGAATGTAATCGATGACTCTGCAGCCGCCGACGTACTTGAAGATCGGATTGGGAAAGCCGTAGCCAACGGTGTCGATCATGATGTGCGGCTTGAGCCGATAGAGAGCCTCGCAGCCCACCAGCATCGAGCCAAGATAGGCAAAGCTCTTGATCCAAGGCCCTTGCTGCAGACGGACGAAGCGGATGTTCGGGTGGATCTTGATGTTGAACTTTGCCTCGACGTTGCGCAGAATCATTTCCGGCGTCGAGCTCTTGTCGCTGCTGTAGACGACGATCTGCACGTTGTCGTACTCCACTTGGATGGCCTTGACGGCCGACCAGAGGACGTTCTCTTGGGGACTGCAGGCGTTGCATTGCGGATGAAAAAAGCCCACGGTGATGGCCTTTTTTCGCCTCTTTTCGACGTGCCGTCTTGAGAACAGTATGCAGATTACGCGTAATATCATTGGACACAACAGGATTTGATAGATCAATAATATTTTTAGAAATGAATATTTCTCCGACAGCCAGTAGGTAAATTTTTTCCAAAACTGTGCCATTTTCAAGAAATTCGTGCTCCACGGAACAAAAGAATAGAAAAATAAACTTTTAATGCTATTTTGCTTTATCCTTCAAAAGTTCGTATTTTGACGCCTAAGTACATGGAACACACCTTCGATTTGAATTGCCCATTTCATATTGGATACATGTTGAGGATGCAATCATTGTCTCAATTTTAACATAACCTTTTTTTCCTTTTCATTTCCTTGAAGAATTTTCAATGACTCCAACAACGACAATCATTGAACCAAACTTAAAATTCATTATCATTTCAAAAACTCACTTTCCAATAAGTAAATGATAAAAGAATTACTTTTATATCTATTACTGCGTTTTTATTGGATATAATTGATTTTTTTTTTTTAATTTGTTTAATAAAACATGTAATAAATAATGCTTCGTTAAAATACGCTTGCCGAATGCAGATTATCGAACAAACACTGAACTGCACATTTTATTTTAGAAGATGTATTGTGTGTTAATTTTGTCGAAGCACTACTTTTTTACTTTCTTTCAATCCTTTTCTTATTGAATACATACAAAACCCATTTCACTAGGCTTGAAGTTTGATTTTTCTGTGAAAAATCCACTGTGCATCGATAACTTTACAAGCAATTTTGCTAATCATTAACATATCCTGAACAAAATTTTGCAACTGGAAATTCGGTTCGGGCAATAATCAATTATTACATGCGCGATCAGCCGTAGCTCTATCACAATTTCATTTATGTAAATAAAATTATTGAAAAACGTTTGTAAAACTCAAAGTGCATATAATTCGTGGTTGCCAAATCTGAAAGCTTGCGCGTATGTATATACACAGACGTAAACAACTTTGCTGTCGATCTCTCATCTCTGAAAGGTCTGTTTCCGAAGATGCTGTGGAATAAAAATATTGCGCGAATTTTGAATTACGAAATTTTGAATTTAGAACTGTTCACTCAGACTTTTTTTTTGAAAACATTGAACTCCTGCTTTTAAGTTTTTGATAACATTTTTTTCGCGAAACTCGAGTAAAAAATGGAGAAATGAATGTAATTCCAATCGTATTCATTTTAAAACTTAGTCTACAATCTGCGTGAAATATAGAAATTATTGTGTAATTAATGAGTCATGTAGCATAAGAAATCTGATTAAATTTTTCAAGTTTTTTTAATAAAAAAACATTTTATATTTACAAACATATTATTGATTATATATATACAAGTATAAATTTTACATAATTCATTGAAGAGTCATTTATTTATTCCATTAAAAAGGAATCGTTTATCCCCGTAAAAGCTGCAAAGCCAGCTCTTCGTCAGTTTTTAAACTGTGCTGAACCTCGTTATCATCTTCGTCATCCGACGAATCTGATTTTTGTCTTTTATTTTCAATTTCATCCAGTGTAACAAGTTTTCGTTTTGATCTAATGAAAATACAGAATAATAAGTCTTCTCAAATTATAAATAATATTAATAAAATTAAAACCTTGTAGATACCTGTGAATTACATCTTCACCATCATTATCACTCTCTTCATCTGAAGTATTTTCTTTTTTACCATAAATTTTATCAGGATCTGGTAAATCACTTATCAATTGGTTTAGAGATTCAGACTCACTGCTCTCTTCTCCAGAATCGTAGGATTCATCAGCATCATCATTATCTTCTTCATCTTTTTGTCCTTTTTTCAAAGCTTTGCGTTTCATTTTTTCTTCTCTATGCTTTTCTCTAATTTTTTGTTGGTATCTTAGTTTATCTACTTTGTCTTCTTCTTTAAGAATTTCTCTTGCTACAGTAATATTAATACCAGAAGTCTCTTCATTCTCATATTCTCTTCCTAAATTTGACACTTTTGATTTAGCAGGATCAATTATTTCCTAAAATTAAAAATTTTTATTATATTAAGAAAACTATGATGTAAGTTTTTATTTTGATTTTTTACCTGTCCTTCTTCATCAAAGTTAATTTTTTTATTAGGAACTATATTCTTCCTTAAAGTTTTTTTAGCTGCAGCAGCTTTGGTGACAACTTTTTTAGAAACACAAGTATTTTCCAGTTCTGAATCTTCATTATCATCAATTTGGACATTTTTCCTTTTGATTGTGAGGCAATCATCACTTTCATCGTCGTCATCATGGACTGAAATAATTGATTCATAAATAGAGCTATTTCCAAATGTATTTTCAGAACAAATGTATTGTTCAAATTGTCAAAAGTTGCTTATATTGATTAATAAAGTATTAACTTTAAATTAAAAACCAGTTTCTTAGAGAGTGCAGATTTAATATCAATAGTATACTCACAAGTTGAAATTTCGTTTTTATGATTGATATCGATCTTTTTCACATCTTCGTCACTCGATTCACCATCTTTATTCTTTGATCTCTTTTTTTTCGCTTCATTTTTTTCTCTTCTTTCTAAAGCTCGGACTCTCGGAGTTTCTGATAGGCCAAGAGATCTGTGAAAATGTTAAGATAATATTTTTTAAGGAATAGTTTTATTTCCTGTCAAAACTGTCATTTAATTATTTATTTAAATTATTTTAAATTACCTTGCAAATGAATCAGTATCTAAAGCTTTAAAATCAAAAATACTTTTATCCTTCATGTAGAACACTGACTTAACATAGGTCTTTAGAGCTCTTTGAGCACATTCTTTGTGATTTGGATATTTTCCAATCCATGCTTCTAATTGTTTTTGAATCGGTTGTAATTCTTTATGGTTGACTCTAAAAGATTAAAATGGCCATTAGATAATTAAAAATAAATATGAATATTCATAAACACATTCAACAAGGTATATTTCATACTTAGATTGTTTGATTGGAACATTATTGCTTTGTAATTTTTCAATCATTTTTAATTCACTAGGTAAAAGAACCAATAATGATTCTCCACCTTTATTCATCCTAGCACTTCTTCCAGCTCGATGAATGTAGGTTTGGACATCTTCTGGACAATCCATCTGTACAATCCAGGTCACATTTGAAAAATCTAAATAAAATTAATATCAGTATATTATATTGATTAATATATAAAAGTTGATATACAGTCTACACTAATATTTACCAAGCCCTCTAGATGCAATATCTGTGGCAAACATAACTGCATGTTGCTTTCTACCAAACTCTGCATAAATTTTCAGTCTTCTTTCTTGATGAAGGGTTCCATATAAAGCCAATAAACCCATTGTCAGTCTAGGTTTCATTTGTCGAAAAGCTTCATGCACAAATTTGACCTGTACAACAATGAAATATGACATTTTTTATTAAGACATGAGAAAATCTATTCATTTCATTTAGGATTTTAAAAAGTACATACCTGTTGGCAGGTTGAAAAAAATACAACAATTTTGTGTTTTTGATGTCTTCTTAAAAAAGACCATAATAAAGAAAGTTTGTCACCCAAATTACAAATCATGTACAGTTGTTGCAAGCCATCTGGCGTAGCATAAGTTGCATGTTCATGCACAGAGATATACTTAGCATTCTTCTTTAAGCTGAGTCTAGCTAAATCTTCAACAGATCTATTTATTTTTCAATTCAAAAACATATAAAAATTAATTATTCAACAAATGAAATTTAGAAAATTTTTTTTAATTTTGTCTGTAATTGCATACTTTGTTTGAGTGGCAGAGAATAATAGTGTTTGACGTTCAGCTGGTAAATTTTCTATAATAGAATCCATCTGTTGCTTAAAGCCCATATCTAGGCATCGATCTGCTTCATCCAAAACTACATACTATGATAAAAAAAGTTTATTTACAGGAAATAAATTTTCAAGTTTAAAATAATTTTAACATACCTTTGTATAACTACAATTGAATATAAAAGTTTCATCCATGTGTTGCAGAATGCGACCTGGTGTACCTATTAAAATGTTGCAACAATCAATATTTTTCCTCTCTCTACCCAAACCTTTTCCACCGATGATCAATCCTATTGATACATCATGGTATTTGGCCACTTTTCCAAGTACATCATATATTTGTTGCGCCAGTTCTCGAACGGGAGCAATGATCAACGCTCGGAGTCCATGGTTCTTCTCCCACTTTTCATTATATAAATGTTCTATAATCTTTGAAAAATTGAAAATTGAAATATGATTTACAATTTACAAATCAGGACGATCGATAGATACGCTTACCGGCACCAAAAAAGCCAACGTTTTCCCACTTCCAGTTTTAGCTGCTGCAACGATATCATATCCTTGGAGTGCCCAACCGATTGTCCTACGTTGAATTTCAGTTAGCTCCCGATAATTGCACTCATTCAACCCTTTTAATGTGCTTGCGGACAATTGTAGGTCCGAAAACAGAACCGGTGCCGTGGATTTATTGGTAGACATGTTTAACAATAATTTAGAAAGATTTGTTTTACTACACTTCAACAACCTTTTGACAAGTAAAACAAAACACGTGCATCTCTCGAATCTCACTGTAGCACACTGCACACATGGCAAATTAAGGCAATTTGGCGCACGTGTGATGTGGACTGTGAGTGTGGACAACTCGCCGGTGAGCGCCAAATTTAAATTCTTGTAAAGATATAATCCAAAATATCTATTGTAAAATTTTTTTTGGCATGTATTAAATTAAAAATATGATTGCTGATACAATATTAGAGTGGTTATTATATTTTTATTTTAATAAATCCAAAAAATGTTATTTTCCTTTTTCACAGTCATCGCTACTGGTCACTTTACTGATTTATCCGTCGAATAAAACAAACCGCACTCCGCAGTGTTAGATATGTGGTAAGGAATATTCTTATTTGTTTTGCAAAGTTTGTGACCAGTAGTGATGAACTTTTGAATCGAGAATTTGTTATTGATTGTAGGTAATATATAGATAATTCAAATTCATTGTAATTTTGACCTTCAATTTTTGTACGATGTTGTAAATTAATTTTATTCCTTGTTCAAATTGTGGAATTGTTACTTATAATATTCCACGTTTCGTCCCGTGATTATTAATAATTAGTCATTATTATTATTTAACATTCGCTTAAAACGTCGGCATAGCAGTTTGCGGCTAGTTCCACGTGAATCAATTATCTGTCGTTTCACGTTTGTGTACATACAATTCATACATTATTGACAGATCAAGTGTAGGTTATACTATATAAGCCAAAAAATTTAATTCACACGAATGTTTTAAATAAAAAAAAAGTAAACCTTCTCTACTTGCTTTCTAAAATTTACACAAAATGTTTTAATTCTAATAACTTTTTGAGATTTTTTAAACTATGATGATGATACACATAATGCAAATTGCATTTTTTCTGTTTCAGATAATATCAAGTTTATAAAAATTATTTGAAATTAAAATTATTCAAAATAAAATGGCATCAAAAAAAGTTATTCCAATTGATACCAAAGATTTAGACTTTGAAGAGAATGAAATAAGGGCTATTGTCAAAGTAATGGATCGTCCAACAATTATCTTGAAAACCAGAGAAAGCGAAAGCCGAGCAGTTTCTCCAAGTTTAAAAAATGAAAATAAGTACTGCAAATCTTTTAGTTATAAAAATTATTGGATTCAATTTCTTTGTATACAATAACTTTTTATCATATTGATTTTACAGAAAAGATGATACTGCTTCTTGTATCTTGACTAAACCTAGCAGCAGTATGTATTTAAATAATTTATTGATTTGTGATAAATTTGTGTAATTATTATTAACGCTCTTAACATTTATTTGATATAAAATATTTTATTTATTAGCATTTAGTAGTCTTTTATCGTGGGGACCTGAAATGACTTACTGTATAAAATTTATGAATGAGCACATGCAGTTATGTGAAACAGTACTTGATTTTCTAACTGATCAACAAGACTTTTTGGTAGTTGGGTGTGTGGGTCTACAAGGTGTTGGAAAGTCTTTTGTTTTAACACAGTTAGCATCTAGTTACAAGTAAATAATGTTCAATATTTTATAATACTAATTTTACCATTAAAATTATCAATTGATTGAATAATTTTATGAATTTAGGCCTAATGTTTTTCAAACTCAGCAGTTGTCACATCATGAAAATGGCTCTAACTGTACAAGTGGCATTGACTTTTTTGTAACAAGAAACAGAGTTATTTATTTGGATACTCAGCCTTTTTTATCAGGATTAGTAACCGATTACTCTACATATTTTGAACAAAAAAAAAATTCAGGCGATTACGTTATAAATGAAACAACATTAGAAGTACAATCCTTACAATTTTTAGCGTTTATGTTTTCAGTTTGTCATGTTGTCATTCTTGTTCAAGATTGGTTTGTTGATCCAAACTTAATAAGGTACTTTTTATTTGTATTATTCATAAAAAAATTATTTAAAAATAAAATTTTAAAAAATAAAATAAAATTGTATATATGTATTTTAGGTTTCTTCAAGCTGCGGAAATGCTGAAACCTTCCTCATCAACTTCTATGGACCAAAATTATGTAGAACATTATCCACATTTAGTTTTTTTACAAAATAAAGGTGAAGCACAAGACTTTGAATATGATACTATTGACATGATGAGTGTATGTTAAAATTTATACAATAGTGCTACTGAAAAATGTAAACTTTGTGTAATTTTTTTTTATTGATTTTGAAGGATTTTTACGAAAAGACCTTCGCTTCTTCTCGATTACAAATTCATAGCGGACTTAATATGAAGGATGAGTTGATAAAAAATGAATTGAACCTATTCATTTTACCACTTGAAAAAGATTCAGATGAATGCACATTTTATAAAGACATGGAAGAACAAATTGACTTTTTGAGGAGAAAAATATTTGGAGTTACCAAGCGTGCAATGACACCAGTTCCTTTGACTGAAAAAAATTGGTATTTATATGTTTTCTCTAAAGTTTTAATCACTTCAACAATTTTTAATGATAAAACAATCATGCAATTATTTTTAGGTTTCATTATGCTAACAAAGTATTGGAAAGTATAAAAAAGAGTCATTTGGCTTCAGAATATGGTCGATTATTACCTTGAAAGAAGTTTTATTGGCTTATTGGATGGAAATATTAGAAGCAGGAGGTAATATTTAATCAAATTTGTTTTCATAATTATTGAACTAAAATTGTATAAGAAAATTATATAATATAGGTAGAAAATATTTTATTGATTCTAATATTTAATTTACAACTCATTTTGAGTACTCTAATTAGTCAGCAATATACAATTTTACTCTATAACATTCTTAATCAATGTACTAAGGAATAATCATGATACTTAAAATGATTTGCCAAAACAACAGTTCATTAAAAAATATAATTTACAATATGAATATAGAAAATCAAAATTAATGATTAACAGTAATCATCATCTTCATCATCGTCATCATCTAATTTAATTGGTTTTGCTTGTACACTTTGAACTGCCTGTATTTGTGCTAAAGCTGCTAGTTGTATTTGATAATCTGCAGCTGCTTGTTCTTCTCTTGCTTTTGCAAACAGTTCTTGTTGCTGTCTTAAAAGTTCTTCTTCTGGTATTCCTAAATTTTCTAATCTTGTACTTTGCCGTCTGCGCTTTGCTGCAACTGCTTTGCAATCCCTTAAAACAGCTTCTGCTTCAGCACAATAATCTGTAAAACCTAGTTTCTCCAGTGCTTGCAGTACATGCTCAGCATTAATTGTTTTCTTTTGTTGTTGATTACAGATTTCATTTGCTTCTGATGAAAGTAGATGAATGAATTCGGTACAACAATTCAAGATGAGTTCTCGAGATTCATTAGCCACTCTTATATGAGGTAATATCTCTTTGATCATTTTGTTAAGAGATGCTCTAGGAAGAGTCAATTCATCATCTTCTTGAGGTGACATTCTAGCTGAGGCCATTTATTTACTTGCCCTGGAAAAATCACAATTCTTAATTGGATAGAATTTTTCTTTAAATTATGAAAATTGTTGAATAATAAAAAAATATGCAAGTCAAATGTAATTAAATAAATTTGACATGAAAAATAAAATTTCAAAGTAAGGTTAAGTTGACAAATGTAAATGAAAATCTTTTATCTATAAAATTCGTTAATAATATTAACCTGTGACTCGAAGTTTGTGAATCAACTACCCAAAGTTTACAATTCTTTTAAAATTATTATCAGTTATCACTTTAATTTCTAATATCAATCAAAGATATTGGGTAGGTATTTATACATATATAGATTTTGATGGTATAGTAAAAATAAATACAAATACATCACTAGTTACTATATACATGCTGTTGTCCAAAATCAGACGCGTTTCATTCGTAATATTACCACATCAGGCAGTGTCTGCAGTTGATACCAGTTTTTCGTTAGAGTTATAGTCGATTTAAATTTTGTCACTAAGTTTAGTCGTAATAAGTGCTCAAAATTCGCGTCTGAAGAAGGTATAAGGACTATTTGAGTTTAATAAAGATTCAGTTTAATAAAGATTTTAGTATTTAAATTAAATTATCAGTAATTCCTGTGGAGATGACTTAGCTGACTTAGCTTATCTAAACCCTAAAGCTGTTAATCATTGAATAGTGATGGCGGGAAAAGAGAACTTCCTCATAGCGAACACTGATTGTTGTAAATTTGAATAGATCGAACGTTAATTTTCTTTAAATGTTTATTCAAACGTTCATCTTCGAATCTACTACTTGTTACTTCAGTATCTTCTACCGACAGTTGACGCCTTTTCAGGCGCCAGTGCCCATCTAAGAAGTTGAGTTAGTAAGATAAAATTTAAAAAATAATTTAAATTAATCGTTTAATATAGTACAAAAGTTATTTTAATTCACCATTATCGATTTGTAGTTCTGTTGATCTAGTTTTAGTATCAGTACTTTTTTAAAAATTAATATAGTTGAAAAGATAGTTGGCTCTGATCATAATCAGTTACAGGTAGGAATAACTATGTTTTACTCATTGTTTATAATTTTTATTTAATTATCAAGTGGGTAAAAGACTTAAATTCAGTAAGAAAGTTGAATTCGTTTTGTTTTTATTTTATTCTTACATTAGTAAATAAGATGTTCAACATCTTTTATTGCTGTTGTTTAATACTTGACTGAGTACAATGTTGATAACTTATTCATGGATAAATGAAAATACTTACAGAAAATGTATAGTAGATTGAATAAAAATTCCAAAATTTTAGGTATTCAGATAAATTTTGATACTTATTTTAAATTAATTTAATGTCATGGAAACCTAATTTGACCATGAAATATTTTAATAAAGCATATTCTCTTTTTTTGAAAAATCAATACTGCACGATTATTATTTTTATGTAATCAAATAATGCTTAGAACAGGTGCAAGAGTTTTAAATTACTTGTTGTTAGATATCACAAATTGATTACAATAAAATTGAGACTTCTTTGTGACAGTCAGTCTTCTTAATTTTGAGCTTGCTTAATGCATTTCAAAATGTTATCAATAACATCCCTGCTAGTTGAAGCTCCTCCTAAATCTTTGGTTATAATACCAGCATTTACTGTTTTATTAATTGCATTTTGTATCAAAGCTGCATGACTTTTGTGTCCAAGATGGCGTAACATATCAACTGCAGCATTTAACATTGCTATTGGATTGGCAATGTTTTTTCCAGCTATACTTGCACCTGTATTACGTGTCGCTGGCTCAAATACTGTATAATGATCTCCATAATTTTTACCAGCTAATAAACCAGCTCCTCCCAAAAGTCCACAAACAACATTTGAAACGATTGATCCATACAAATTTGTTGTCAACATAACATCAAATTGATGTGGATTTGAAACTAACTGCATGCAAGTATTGTCAATAATCATATCACCAAGAGCAATTTCTGGATATTCTTTTGCAACTTTTCTGGAAGTTTCTAAAAAGAGACCATCAGAGAGCTTCATAATGTTGGCTTTGTGGATTGTGGTGACCTAAACAAAGAGAATCATTCATAAAAAATAACTTTGTACCTTCTAATATACTCAATATTGTTCAATTATCAACCTACCTTTTTCCTGCCATGTCTTCGAGCATATTCAAAAGCATATCTTGCCAATCTTTCAGAGTTAGATCGTGTTATAACTTTCATGCTTTCTACAACACCTGGAACACTTTCATGTTCCAACATAGCATATTCACCCTCTGTATTTTGTCGTATAATAACAAGATCAATATTTTTTTGTCTTGAATTAGTGACACCTGGGTAAGATACACAATGCAAAGCATTGACATATAAATCTAGCTCATTGCGAAGAGCTACGTTCCTTGATATTACTCCAACATCTTTACTTCGTGTTTCAATGTTTCCTTTTAAAGCAACTCCATTTCTACGAATTGAAGTTATGGCATAATCTAAATCATCATTTGTGTCTGAATTGGGGTCGATATGAATTTCTTCAAAATCAACTGGTACACCAGCATATCTAAATATCTAAAACACATTATAATGTTAATGCAGATAAATTTTAGGGTACAATGAAAATAAGTAAATCGTACAAAATATATTGATTACATAATCACTGTTTTTATTTTGTATAGTGTGCTTTTATGTTGAAAGTGAGTACTTAGGCAATTGTTGAATATTATTTTCAATAATGTTTTAAGTTTATGTTTTTATCAGTATTAAAAACATGTTTGGTTTATTGTATTGTTTTTTCTTTGGTTAATTTTCTTTGGTTAATAAATTAATCGAAGTTTTATTTGTATAGTAAATTTTTTTAGTTTTTTTATTTATTTATGTGTTAACTACATTATTTGCAATAAAAGTTATAACAAGATTTTTAAATTTTCAAGTAAAATCCTTCAATTTCCAAAGGATTATGCTTCTTGTACTGATTACCTTACCTAAAAGTAACTTTGTGTAAGAGTAATAAATTGTGCAAAATTGAAAGAATCATAAGTTAGGCGAGAATGCAATTTAAATAAAAGAAATATTGAAAGAAAGGGCACAATAATCTTTCATTCTTACTTGATAGCTTTTTGAAAGACTATGTGATAAGTACTATTATTTTCACATATATTGTAGCTCAAATGAATCGAAAATATGTGTTTCATACCGTTGAACATGCAAATAAATGTTTCACTCATAATTGTTTAAGAGTAAGTATTACCTCTTTGACATAACTCATCAACTCAGGCCCAATACCAGCACCTGGCAAAAGAGTGACAGTATGACGTCCACCGTAATGAGCTTTAGGAATCGGCATAACTTTTTTTATAGTTGGTGTTTTGTGCTGGATTTCAAATCCAGACAATCCTGCTGTGGAGGCACAGCGAATATATATTTGTGGTATAATATTTTTGGGTTGCACACATTTTAAGATACATCTCCCTGCCATGTCTGAAACTATAAGGCCTGTAATATATGAAATTAGAAATAGTAAGAGTCGTTAAAAGTACAAAGTTATAATTTTAGTCAAAGTAATTTTTTTCACTCGTCAATGCCTATCAAAAGCTATTTTAACAATCACCTATGAGGACCTTGGCAGTTCTGGACTATTAGTAGTAAAAAATATAGGCTGCTCGCAATGTATAGGGAGTTTTAACTGGTACTAGTTACATTTTGAATAAAGCTTGCGATTTCAACTGCAGCCATATTTTTACCTAGAATCCGCGCGAAATCTAAACTACATGATAAAGTTAAAAGTCAATCACGAAAAATTAAAAAGAGACATTTTTTATTTAATAAACATATTGATTTAATAGTACCTTATCCAACGGGTGTGGATTTTTTTTCTTCAAAACGAGGGGTTGCAACATGAGCCGAAGGCGTCTTTCGCATCGTACTCCGCGATATGAAAAAGTGCGACTTACGACTCGGGAAAGGGGTTATAAAAGTGAACTTAGCATAGTGCTATAAAATTGTGAAGTATGATACTCGTGTCACAAATGTTAATTACTATGACACTTGCATCGAAAAATACTAATTTTCAAATTTAAGATTTTAAGGGAGTCACAGTTCGAAAATGAAGCCCAAATTTAACCTAATATTAAGCTTAGTTAAAGAGTTTATTTTCAAATTGTGGCGCCCTTAAAATCACCATCACCATGAAAAAAAAAACAAAGAACATATTTGAACATGAAATTTTCAGCTCTTTTTGAATCTTAAATAAAATAAGGGGGTCACCGTGTTGAAAATTGATTTTGGTTTGCTGCAGGTTAGAGGTTATTTTCAAGGTCACTATTGTATTCTTCGTTGAAAAATACGTCGAATATGAGGTTTTTAACTTTTTTTTAAGCTCACTCCATGAGATTTCCAGGATTTTTACGTATATTTTTCCTAAAACCAAAACAATATTGGACAAAAGAAGCTGGAAGTTTATGATTAAGTATTAGGACTATATTTGAAGATTTCGACATGCATAATACATTGTGGAAAAATATTTTATAGTAATTGTATATTTAATTATTGGTGTTTTGAAGCAAAAGCTTATGAATTATGGTCTTGATGTTCAGTTACTTTTTTTCAGGTTTTCTGAATTCATTAAATATTCAATGAATATATTTTTCAATTAATTCTCGTGCTTGGTTAATTAAGAACATTCCTTAAATTTTTTGATTTTTTAAGAATCGCAAAAAAATTTTTTTAATGGATTCGATCGATTGATCGTGGAATGTGGATGAATGAAGTTAGCTAATTTTTGTTTAAAAATTGTATATTAACTTAGTTCATGCGTATAGAATGATTTTTGACATGGTACGCAAAGGTAAAATGCAACTAAATTATGCTACATGAATGTATCCGTTAAAATCTGAATTTTCCTTTTCGTAAAGTAAGTGGCATAAGTAAAATAGCAAGTGATATTTTAACATTTTTGTAGTGTAGCATAAATAAACTTTCTTATAGTTTTGATGCAAATCGGAAGCTCTGATAAAAATGGGGCATTTGCAGTTTCATCAAGATGTGCTTTCCAATAAGATTGATAGATTATTCAAATTTGACCGGTGTATACGTAAAATTTCATCGCCTCGAATTTTGTTCAATATAAATACTATGATAAGTGCACATAACACGGAATATGTATCTGTAAAAACTGGACGCACGCAGTTGCTTACACAACATTTTCTCAGTTGAATAAAATTGATCGGTCTTTTTTTTCAATAATATCATATTCTATTTGACGTTTTCGCGCGCGCGTGTGCGTGTTTCAATGTGTGTTGTCAGTTGTGTGAGAGAGAGGACCATATACACTTGTAAAGCTATGGTATATTATGGATGGTTATCGCGCACGAGACAGACTGCAATAAGACCATTGGCCTGCACGTGAAATCACTCCGGCGTGGCCTACGGCACGTCTCGACGTGTGTTGTACCCTGGTATGGCATGAGCGAAACGCGAAGGCAGTTTTACGCCCGGAGAACTACTGGACTATATGGGCTATTTAATAACTTAATAGGCTATCTGTATAGCTGTGCCACAACGGAATTGGTAGATCACGTATTTGAAACTGCGTATAAGGAGGCTATTTGAAGCGTCGTGGACGCGAGCAGTTTCGGCTAACGCTGTCCAAACCTCGTACTTATACATATACGATCGACTAAATCTTTCTGCTTCTAGATGGGTGTCGTACGTACGGTTTACTATGCGCTATACACTATATGTACGTGTGTGTATTTGCAGTTGCTGGTGCTTGGCCTTGCACTTTGCAGCCATATCGCCGTGAGCACAGCCGTCTGTGCATGTTTGCTCGGTCCAGCTTGTGCTGTTCTATTATATCCGTGCCGACATTATTGTATACATATTTGTGCTTGTACAGTGTACATGTACAGGTACCCATAAACTTCTCACGTCTGCGATATGCATAAGCGTAAGCTGTTATTATATTGATGACGAGTAATCAACAAATGCTCGAGCCGTCTGTTCAATCCGTGTATACTGTATCTAGCATTTCTCTACCTGCATTCATTCGTTTTTTTTATTAATCAAAAGTTAAAAATTTTAGATGATCTTTTCTTTTTAAATATTAACGAATCAATTGAAAATAAAACTCGTTGATACACTCTTATTCATTGCTTCTTAATAAATTTTTCTTCTCAAATTAAAGAAAATAACTGACAAGGTATGTTGAAAATTATTGTTTCAACTGCGCTTAATAAAATATACTCACTCTCATACAATGAAGAGCACACTTGCTAAAGCTATTGCATACTCAAGCTCAGGACCAATCCCAACGTCTTTCATAAAAAATTAATTAAAATCCCATGTACAGCACGTTTATTTCAATCAGTTATCAATGTCACTCACTCTATAGAAGTGTATATACGTTTCATTTATATACGCAGAAGTGATTAAAATGTAAAACTCTTGCCCGAGAATCATCCGCAGTACGCCGCACGGCAGATGCGTCGCTTTGTACTTAAAAATTTTAAGTAATGGTTTATCGGTATCGTGGTAGCCGAGAAGTGATCTGGCACGTTCGGTCTGAGACCTCCTTGATGGAATGATGTTTTTATTTGCCAATCGCTCCTCGGCATGCGCAGCCGGCTTTGGTACGTATGCGTACTCAAAGCGTCGTGTCCGCAAAGAGAAAATCAAATCGCGCTCGAGCGGCTCCGCCACAGAGAGGCTTTTTTGCATCGCGGCGCGCGGATAAGCGCACAGGCTCTGCGCTCGCGTATAATCGGATATACGATAACGCCTGCAGTCGCTGTTGCCACTGCTCTTACTGCTGCTGCTGTTCGCTTCGGTGCACGCAGCTCAGGCTACTGTGCATACCTATGCGTACTTTGCGTATACACGTTCTCGCTTTTAAATATGCCCGCGCTTGACGCGCACGTCAACGATATTAATTTTTACTCCGTTCAGCATTTCACGTGGGTAGCGAGATGCTCGCACCAGTCGCCAGCGTAATATTTTACATTTTTATCGAGACCATCCTTTTTCGTCCCTTTGACTTTATTCGCGCACTTTACTTAAAACTTCACCCATGTCTTCATTTTACGTAAATATTTATCATGCCGAGTAATTAAATCACCAATTACTCGTGGAATTTCGAAAATTGCATGCATATGAAATCGAACTCGAGGTCCACTGATCCTTTCCGAGAATGCGTGCTTCTCGTTGGACTATATTGTGAGATAAGCGGACGCCTCAGGCCATGCGAAAGTCTTAATTACCAAAAAGGCACTATAGTTGTCCTGGTATTGCGCGTCTTATCTTCGATGCACCAATGTGTGTATATGCAGTTCGAGTCACTTATCGACACCGCGTGACTAAAAACCATTGGACATGCATTAACGCAGCTAGCAAAAAGTTATTTATGTTCAAATCAACTTTGTTTTTATGTCATTTTGATTCACTTGAGGGCAGTATGTAATTGTACGCACAAGTACGTTTTTTTTATAATGTGTATATTGAAGTAATTGAAACATTCGAATAACGAGAGTGCGCATAACGAGAATTGCAGTTTTTTCTTGTGTTTCAAATTTCTCCGTTATAATATATACAGCTAAGCGTGATAAAGCATGCTTGAACATTTAAAGATAGCTATTGGTAATAAAAAATGTCGTTTTTATGTAAAAAGCTCGGACGCAAGATTCAACATAACGCACTCGTATATCTACGTTTATAATAAGCACGTGACTGATGTACGTGAATTATCGAAATGACGCATGCATCTGTTGCTTCCAAAAGCTCGATGCATATTTCAAAGCCGTTTGTGGCAGATATACCACGGTTACTTCATGCCTCTCGCTAATGGCATTGAATTATTGATATGTTCATTCGAACAATGTATCACAGGTGCAGCTGTTTTGAAGTTGCAAACATGAACTTTAATTAGACCTCAAACCTCGAAATTAATTACTTGGTAGCAGTTTTGCTGTTACTGAGTAACGTACTCTACAATCTTTACATGATATCGAACGGCAGTCAAGTGCAAATCAAGTTTGACTGAACTGTAGACTAAGAAATTCCTGGACGAAAAATTAAGTTAAAATTAAAAAAATTTAAATGTAAACGAATAATGCAGTTTTTATCAATCATTGTTCAGTTATCATCAAATTAGCTATAAAACACGGGGAGCTTGGAATACTATTAAGCCTTACATTCAATTTATGTAAAAGCATCTCGTTAAACTAGCTTGAAGCTAAGGCCTAGAGAAATTATTGTCATCTGCTTGCTCATCAGACGTAGCATATCGAAATTCTCCCTGGCTCTGGTGCGCAAGCACAAGATGACCTCAGATTAGGTGATTCGTGCGCAAGAAGACGGCTAATGACTGTAATAATTATATACCCTTCGTGTTCTGGTCAAGGCTTAATATTCTCATGGTGTTCACACGATGCCCATTTCGTCTCCCGTTTCTTTCTTTCTCTCTGTTTCGCTCATACAATACATATACGCTCGTGCGATCAATCGTGTCAGCGTGATTGATCGATGTTCTTGAAAACTTGGTATAAATATAAAAGATGCGCGCGCGCGACGCATAGTGCTGGTGCATGCGGTATATATTACGAGCTGCACAGCCAAGGGCGTGAACTTTTCGATGCATGCCAAAGCTCGCTCAGGTTAATTGCTTCGTCTAGATGAAAAAAAGAG